ATAAACTGATACAGTGCAATTCTTTTTATAATGGGTCAGTTGTAATCTTTTTTAAGACATACAAATTGTGTCATACTTTTAAACTTGGAATGTATAATTCGAAATGACAATGCATTAGACGATTAAATAAACATAAAAACCAAAACATCAAAAGAAAGACAAAAAGAGAAAAGGGACAACAACACAATTACATTTCATAATCAATAACGGGAAAGTTATGTCAGCTTAAACGAATTCGAATCTTTAAAGAAATAAAATCTCTGAATAATACGTCTGCGATCTATCAAGTAAAAATAAATCTAGGTAACGAACAAAATCTTTTGAAGGAATTGAATGAACCCCAAAAAAAGGAGCGAGACCGGATAAGTTGTCATGATAACCGTCTACTGCTATGTATGCATTACCAAAGACATATATCTTACCTACTGGGCCGCTGTATATACACTTGCTGCTTCACAATATTACTTGAATGATTAAACGTAGGGGTTCAAGGAAACTGACACATAGAGAGAAACATTTCCTGATGAGAAATTGTAAATACTTGTCCTGAGGATATATGATTTTCATTGTATTAAAGCAAGAACGGAAAATCACTTAACAAAAGCGTTAAACTCTTGTATAAATGTATTGACAAGGAAATCGAAACTCAACGTTAGTGAATCAATCTCATCTTTTTTCTTTTCTTAACACATACGTTTGCCAGTGGTCATATGATAATTTTATAATTTCTCATCGTTTAGTACTTAGTTGTTATTTTCACACAGACATGTTTTATGTCAGTATAAAAAAGAAGATGTGGTACGATTGCCAATGAGACAACTCTCCACAAGAGCCCAAATGACACAAAAATTAGCAACTATAGGTTATACAGAATGTAACGCGGTTAAACATGTTAGCGGGATCCCCATCCCCCCTAACCTGGGAGAGTGGTGTAACAGTACAACATAAGAACGAACTTTAAAAATCAGTTGAACTCATCAGATGGATACCAATAGAAATACATCTAACAAAAACACAGAGTGGACGTGGCCTGATACTTGTATATCCCAACAACAAAAAGACACTAAGTACAGATCTGAGAGTACTCGCTGTTACTGACAGCTAGTTCAAAGCCATTAACAACTCATTAACAAAATCATGCATCTAAGTCTAAATTATCAATCAGTACACATCCAACATCCAATGGATTAAGTGTAAAGACGTCATAAACAGTCAGAGAAAAAACATGACCTTGTGCAATGCCAAGACAAAGGTATCCACAGATTGCAGATCCATGAATGTTTATATGTATATAATAATAATATTTAGGTTGCTTTTAATTTACTGATAACAAAACCAATATTAATACCAATAAAAACAATATTAAAAGATCTAATTACAGTGTTGAATTGGTAACCTTTTAGTATAAGTTTATTTAAAGGATCGATAAGTTTACCAGGATCGTTTCTTATTTCCGGGCACGGTAAAATGTTGTAAAATTATTTATCAACTTGTATTTATTCATTGGACATATGCTAACAATCGATTCACCATCTGACATTGGCGGTTTGTATATTATTTTCTAAGCAGATGTGGTATGATTGCTAATGAGTCAACTATCAATTGAAGTCAATAGAAGAACGATATAACCAATATCATGTCATAGTATGACTTCAACCATGAAGGAAAACCCTAGTCTTGTAGTATGTTGTTAATGGCTTCTAGATGATTTAATGTGAGCTTCAATAGAGAAAACCACCAAACGCTTGAATAATACTACAACATTCAGGAAATCGTAATTATGGAAGCCAGCAACCAACGAAAATCATAACAAATATACCAAATTCCATACAAAGTCAAAAAGGGAAAGTCTATAAAAACTGAAAAAATGAAACGCTATCAATGAACGGAATCAGTGAAAAAAAAACTGCCTTATTCCTGACTTGGATCTTTGGATAACAGTGCCATATCACACCTACAATTTTACCACTTTTACTATACATTTTAATGAAAAATACTGCCTGCATACCAAGTTCGTGGGTATATACCTTTTTTTAATGCAAATTATATTATGCTAAAATGTTCGATTCTAATACAGCCATCTTAATTTAGAAACCAATATAGGTATTTATTAATCCGACTTTCAGTGAAAAGGGTTTACTTCCGTAGAAGGAAACAGAAATATATCTTTGCGGACAATTTTCATATTATCTAACATTCTATATATATAAAATTAAAACAAAAATATGCTCACATTTAAAACTACATAATTTTCACTTCTTTTCTTTTATATATTTAACAGTAAAGTCTAGTATTAAAGTTTTAAGCTTCTACCTATAAAATTTAATAAAGGAAAAGTTAGGACCATGTCCCTTCTACTTAATAATTAATGGACAGGCATTTTAATGTGAGTCCTGACAGGGTTCTCATTGGCCCTCAGGGGTCCACGCTAGATCCCTTATTTTTTAATGGATTTCAGGAATCTCCATATAGTGTAAATAAGGCTCTGCTCAGTGAAATGGCGAATAACTTGTTAGCTGAAGTCTACCTGATGACTAGTAAGCTTAACCAAATTTGCCGTATTTTATTGAAGTTATCATTACCAGACCATTTCCAGAACAGAATAGCCAAGCATTTTAATATAATTAAATTTATGTAAGATGAAGTATTTTAAGGAAAAGACAATGTAGCGGCAGTTATCCCCCACCACAATGAGTGACCTAAAATGTCCCAAATATAATGATTACTAAGGCGCATGCATTTGTGTGTGTACATATATGTAAATAAATAATATATACGTTCGAACTGCAAAATGCAGCATATTCCTGACGAGAGTACAATGGGCCCTAAGATTGTCAACAGACCCTTCCACAATTACTCGGCCTGTGGCGGCGGTTTGTTACAATATTGTAGGTATTTTCTAAATAAAGATAATGCATCTATCAAAGTCAATGTAGTTATTGATTTCCGTTACTTTGTTGTTACTTAGATTGATAGGAAATGGATACTGAAAAAAAAAGAAAAACCAAAAATTCCTAGTACAAAGATTCTTAAATAAAAATTGCGTTTTTCTTTCATGAACACTCAGGGTTTGTAAAAAACTAATTGGTATCTAATTTTGCACTTTTCGATTGACATATATACATGTAGGTATCATTTAAGAATGACAGTTTATTTCAAAAACGAATAAAAAGGTTAACAAATGCATTGAAAAAAAATTATATGACGGGATTTCTAAGTTGCTTTGTTTCCCATTTCAAACAGTCCCCTCTTAAATGGATTTTATTCCTTATATGTATTTTTCATTGTTATTTACTTTGTTTGTCTTGGATTTAAAGAATATGTTTTCAACGGAATGTTCAAACGAAAGTTGTATACTGCCCGGATATGCAAGGTATTGAATGTGTAATTGTATGAAGCACTTTTGAACTTTTTTGCCAATTTCTATTATACCAGCTTTTCATCATTTTTTTTTTTTTGGGGGGGGGGGGGGGTAAAAAACAGATTAGTAATACAATTGTTCTTAATATGCGAGGACTACTGACCAGTTCAATCTTCTGAATATATAGAGGAAAAATTGGCACTCGCATTTCAACCCGATTAGATATCAATAACAATATTGCTGTCATTACTTCAATTATTCAATGTATTCTAAGTTACCAAATTTATTGGTTTATAACGTATATGTTTAGTATTTCTTATCATTGAGTCATAAGGAAAACCCTGTATAGTATATACATCGGCAATAAAGTAAGAGAAGTATCGAAAATAAACATGACCAGGCTTATAATTGTTTTCGTCAGAAGAGCGTTTCGTCTACAAAAGACCAATCAGTGTCTCTCCAATTAAAAAAAATAATAAGACCACATAAAGAACGAAGTTAAACAGCATTGAGCACCCAAAATCTGAAAGGTTTATCCAAATACAGCTAAGGTAAATAATTCCTTTTGTAGAAATCCTTGGTATTACGAAACAGTTAATCTATAAATATAACCATACCAATGATATTGCATGTCAACACAGAAGTGCTGATTACTGGGTTGGTGAAACAATTGGGGAAGAAACCTCTACCATCAATTGCATAGACCTAGTTGTTAAAAAAAACAAGGGCAATCAAAGATACCAAGTTTATAATTTTGTTCGCCATATCCGCTACAAAAGACTCAACATTGTCCTTCCTATCAAAAAAGTTTAAAAGGCTTAGTGAGGAACGAAGTTAAAAAGCATTTAGGACACAAAATTCCGAAATGTTTTGACAAATACAAATAATAGATAATATATATGGTCGGTTGTGAACGTAGTCTATTTTGTGTTCTTGACATGTACTGTTATCTAAACTCCTCCTACAGCTTTCATTATAGAATGTTTTATAGTGCAATATTGGTACACATTAAGTCGCACTGTTTGTCCGTTTAATGTTTACAGAATATATTATGAATTCATAAGCACACTATTAAATTTTATTCTGATATGAATAGAAAGTTCATATACTTGCTAAGTTTCAAGAAGGGCAATTTTACTTTTTTACATTACCTTTCTAATTAAATAAATACAGCAAAATCTGTTGTTACATATATTTCATTTGTTATAATATTATATGTAAAAAAATTTTAACTTCGTTCCTCACTTAGGCTTTTAAACTTTTATGATAGGAAGGACACTGTTGAGTCTTTTGTAGCGGAAAAGCTGATATGGCAAACAAAATTATAAACTTGGTATCTTTGATTGCCCTTGTTTTTTTCACACTATTAAATTTGATACAATTACCTGTTCACAGAACGAAAATTCATTACCCTTAGTCAAACTTTGCTAGGTCGGTTTTGCAAATTTTTCATACATATATGGTCCACAATATATTCAAACAGATGTGACATGAATGCGTGTTTATATGATATTCACAAAATGTTATCTTCAAGGGTCTTATTTCGTCTCTTGACATGCATTAATTCAAAAATTTTTACATATAATATTATAACAAATGAAATATATGTAACAACAGATTTTGCTGTATTTATTTAATTAGAAAGGTAATGTAAAAAAGTAAAATTGCCCTTCTTGAAACTTAGCAAGTATATGAACTTTCTATTCATATCAGAATAAAATTTCAATTTCATATGGCAAACCCGTTACCATCAAGTTTTAACAAACGCAGTTTCCAAGTCCGTAATTCCTTTTACAAAGAAGGCTAGTTCCTGTCGGCTATACAAACAGTACCAAAACGAAAAAATCGCGAAAAAAAATAATGTTCATATCCTTCTTAACTTGCTCTCGTGGAAAAAAACTAGTTATTTTTTCAAAATATTAATCCTATTCAATATATATTGAATTTTAAGCTGCAAACATACAGTTCAAAATTAATACGAGTTTCACTTATTAAGTTCATTAATTAGTATTGTGCAGAAAATCGTTGTTGGTAATTGAAAGACTATTACGGGTGTAGATCGCACGGTCTCCTGAACATCTGGCCAGCTTCACGTATCCACTTGTTACCAACTGAAACAGAAAAATATGAATGGATCTGACTGATTGATTCTGTATTATTTATATACAGTGACAAATAATTCATGCATATTCAAGACGGAATTTCCATTTCACTTATATATGTAAAGCCTCAGACAAAATACCATAAATCATACGAATTTCACTGCACTAGATGCGCATTTATACAATTAATGTCTCTTCAGTGATGCTCGAGACCAGCATATTTAAAAATCCAAAATATAAAACCAACATTGAAGAACTGATCAAATTAAAAAAGACCTAAATTTTAGCCAAATTCAGACAAGAAATCAGAGCTTTGCAAGAGGGAGATATGTTCCTTTAAAATTCTATATAATTTTTAGAATTTTATAACAGCAAATGTCAATCAAATAATATCCGTAATTTCGTGTCAGTTCCGAAATATTCGCTACTGGTCTGATTGTACCCTAGGGGATTTACAGTCCACCAGCGGATGAATTGACCCAGTGGTAGTAATAACGTAAACGGTACCAATTTTACTGTACCAGATGCGCATTTTTACAATTAATGTCTCTTCAGTGATGCTCAAGGCCAAAATATTTGAAAATCCAAAATAATTTATTAAATACCAATGAGAGAAAATTGTAACTTGCGCGCTTACAATGTCGATGTTTCTATCTAATAACATTTCAAAGGGGAATAACTCTTCAAGGAATATTCGGAACTGATTTGTTAACATTTTCAAGATAGTGCTTGTCTTAATATTTGACATTATGTTAATCAAACTCCGATTAGATAGGTAGACGTGAGAGCACTTACAATGTTGACTCGTCATATCATTTCGAAAGAGCATTAAATAGATCCATGCTGAATATCAAACTAAACCGATATATTGCTGATGTAAACCTTTGACATAAATTATATTTAACACCGATGTGAACTGTAATAAGCAGGAGTTAAATGTCGAATGCCGAATGTCCCCACGCAAACCTGTTGTAAAAATTCATCTAACATTATACACTGCTTTGAAGATTATTTTATTTTCTTATAGATAAAAATCTACTGTACCTTTCTTCAAGTTCCTGTCAAGTAAATAACTTAATATTAGGAACATTGTTTCATTGCCACATCTATCTCATAAACGAATCGTAACCATTTCTAGCATGTTTATCATAAAAATGAGTTTGACTAATTGTTTCTGAAGTGAAACCAGATGCAATTTTGCATTGTGCAAACTAGCAATCACAAGATAATAAACTGTCGAATGCTGTTTGATTTTTCGTCGTTTTACATTTTTGCCAACATATTGTTCGTTTTTCTTCGACTGATGATTTTGACTGTCTACGGTGTCTTCTTCCTCTTTTTGAAAGAACAAATATATAACCCTAAATTGAACCAATATCTGATTTACTCACCCCATTTAGACCCAATTACAACTGGACAGCCTGCGTGAACTGTTCTATTATCAGTTAGTCCACTAGGTAGTAAATTATACCAGAAGGCAGCACCTCCCTTGACAGAAATAAAGTATAATATTTAATAGTATGCTAGCTTCCCTAAGAAAATTACATACCAATCAACTTACTTTTACATCTAGTAGGTTGGCAAACATTTAACTGCAAGCCGAAGTCATCTAAGTTGTTATTGAAATAATGATAAGGAAGTCCCATACAATATTGTTTTCATTTCAATGGTGGTCAGGTGGTATACATGCGACATTAAAGCCATTTTGATTAGTTTCCAAACACATATGTGATTTTGTCTGCATTAGTTTTTAAATGAATCAAAGTAAACCGAAATTATTTATGGAATGCCTTGAGAAATATTTGAGGCTTGTTCTTTCATAAGTACTGTTCGAGATGCATATGTATATATATATATATTTACTTCCATATTTCAGAACAAAAACAGAACTTTCAAATTCATATATCGTACATATGTCAGAAATATAATAAAAAGATAAAATGAAGTTTCTCGAACAACTGATTCATACAAAAACATGTTTTATCGTTTATTGTTACATAAGTGAATGTATGAAAGGAAGTATATCGTTTACAAAAAAAAAAAAAACTTGAGTAAAAGTCCACTGACACGCTAAGGTTTGTTGCTGTCGTCAGACCAGAAAAGAGTAAAGATTAGGAATGAAAATATTGGATAAGGATCACATGCTGTTACCTGAATAACAGGAATCCGAGTATTTATGTTTGGAAATACTGTTGCTCCACCAACTTTAACATCATTTAACTGAAAGGAAATAATTTTAAGAAAGCATGATTAATATAGCAGAACATAGCGTACGTCGTAACTTGCACATTTGGAGTAGGATCTGCTTACCCTTCCGCAGCACATGAGATCACCCCCAGTTTTAAGTGGAGTTCGTGTTGCTTAGTCTTTAGTTTTCTTTGTTGTGTCATCTGTACTATTATTTGTCTGTTTTTTTTTAATTTTTGGCCATGGCGTTGTCAGTTTGTTTTCGATCTATGAGTTTGACTGTCCCTCTGGTATCTTTCGTCTTTCTTTTGTAGTCACCGTGAGCAGTACTTGGTGTGTTTTTTTTTAAGATCATTTTACTTTTACATGTAGCTATTTTGTCGTCTGTAATACCGTTATTCTTCACTTGATGAACAGAATGCTCTTACACTTCATGAGCACTGATAATACACCCCTCCTCCCACTAGTTTTGGTGGTGGTTATTGTTGTTTAGTCTTCAGTCTTCTATTTACTGTTGTTTAGTTTTTTTATTATGTTGTCTTCGGTTTTTTTGTGGGTTTTTTTTTTGCCATAGCATTGTCATAGCATTGTCAATTTCTTTCGACTTTTAAGCTTTGAATGTCCCTTTGGCATACTCCATCTCTTTAGTCGGAACATTTTGATATTCCAAAGAGACTGATTGATATTAAAAAAAGGGATTGTTAAGTCTCAGTATGTTTTAACCTGTCACGTAGTGCCTGTTTCAAGCAAGAAACCTCGCCATTTGTTATGTGATTTTCTCCATGCTGTCCTGATTTTAGTCCCGGAATTTTCACTTTACAAAATGTTGCTATATCCATATCGTTTTGAATACATATAACAAATTTGCTTTGAAATTTTAAACGAAGATCGATCAATCAATCAAATATGGATTTTTATGTTATTAATACCAGAACAATACATTATGTCTCTCCTGTGTAAACACAGAAAAGGCATATTTTAATGTCGAGGACACATCTATCTTGAATTAAGAGATACAATTTGTTTGTAATCAGCATTACTGAAATTACGGAAATGATCATTTAAAAATTACTCACATAAAATAGCCAGGTAGCTATTCTATCACCCGTTCCCCTCAAATCATCTGGTTCATCTTCACTTATTGGACCCCATAATGGTTTCTCCTTAAATAAATAGAGGTTAATAACAAAGTTAAGAATTAGATCTTCTTTTCTGAATGCATTTTTGTTGGTCTGTTCTCTTTTTCAAATTATAGTCATAGTTTTCAGGTATATTATAGATATGGTTATTGAACTAACATTTAATGTTTGATTTTTTGTCATCAACTTTAGTTAAGAAACTAAGGTTTCAACTCCCTCAGGCAAAGTTGACCTTAGATGAATTTGGCTATTTGTTTTAGGTATTTTTGTCATATAGCTCTTCAACTGTTTCGGTACTTATACATCCCTCGGATTTCAAATGTTTGGCTTTGAGCGTTCCTGATGAAGGTAAATCCAGAAAAGCGCTTCGGACGCATGAAATTATTAAACGTGTTGTTTTCAATTTTTTAATTAGGTATACAGGTTCGCTCTTAAAAGAGAAAAATTTTAGTTTGGTCATAATGTCATAAAACACTAAGATGAAGTGCTGAGTCTGACTACTGTATGTACCAAATACCTGTATCACTATTGATAAACAGACGCACTGGAGCGCATGTTTGCATATAGAAATTATTTCCAGAAGAAAATGGAACATTTAGCTGGTATTCTGCCAGTATTTAGTAAAATAGCCCATCAGATAAAGTTCCCGATGCATAGAAATAAAGTCTACAATATGACCGTTTAAAGTGTCATAACTCTGGAATATCTGACAAGAATATTTTCAAAATCGAACAAAAGGGTAGAGCCAACATTCACAAATCTTAACAATTGACGGATGAAGAAAGCGTAGAGGACGTAGAACCCTCCCCCCTTTGATTGAAAAATATATCATTTCTTAGCATTAAATTGTCCAAACACTTTTACGATGCGCTACGCACGGCGATATTTATTTCTGTTTTATTGAAAAATCCTAGTTCCGCATACAGTTTTAAGTAAATTGATCAAAGCCAACCGGACTTACTGTGTACTATGTGAAAAAAACCTTAAAGCTGACGGTTAAAATCCTGTGACTCTTGAACGATTAATAAAAAATTCAAAATGATAAAATGAGACTTTTTTTTTATCAATCCCAACAGCAGTGTAAAGTTTTAAGAGTTTTGATCTAAGCCAACTCGAGTAAGTATTTGATGTTTGAAAATTGGCCTAAAATATGATGGTAAAAGTAAAGAAACACTGTGACGTAAAATTAAATAAAAAACTTTCGTATATCATTCTCAACAACAGCATACAGCTTAAAAAATATTAAACAAAGAGTTAATGTGTGATATGCAATAATTTTATTAAAAATGTCTTGATCTGGACCAAAAAACCAACTAATTTTCAAAATCGAAAGGGAGTTTTCTTCTGTCAATCCTTATAGTGAGTTTAAATTTATGAACATTGAATAAAGCAAATTTGTGTTATCGTTCGACATGTTGACATACGGACAAATAGACGGCTGGACTACGATATACCGTCATACGTCCCGTCGATAACGGGCGTATAAAAAGCATCATATTAAATTAAATAGTTGTTTTCTTAATTGGGGAAAAGGACAATTGCTGCATACAAGAAAGGTACCAACCCAAATCATTCTTGTGTCAAAATTGAAGTAACGTTTCGAAAGTTATAAACTTCTATTATAAGTTATAAAATGGAATTTATTAACACTTCGTCTATGAACACAAGTGTATCAGTCATCCGACAACCAGCCTATTTTAATTAATTAACTGTTGAGGTATAAAGGTGTCACGTATAACCACCGCTGCGTTTCCTGTGTTGACGGCACGGTTCAATGATTCCCTTGTAATCTAGATTTTTTTCGCGTAATACGAGTTACCACCGCATTGATACTCGTCGTACAAGAACTGCTTTCACTTAAAGAGCACCAGTCAGTGACCAACCTTTACCACCGGATATTGTGTGAGTTGATAAATATTTAGTTGTAATGTTTGAATTTTTAGGGGAGTTGTTTTTTTTTGTTGGTCCTTTTCTTCTACATTTTTCATTGGTTCCTTCTTCGACTGGGGAAAAGTATATTGCCTTTGACATCTTTAAGTTTTGTCCTAATATATCCTACTTACAAAAGTATCATAATGTGGGTTATACATTCCTCCTATCCCATAATTCACTATCTGGAATGGTTCGGTGTTGCTGAGCAATGGAGATGATTTCGTTTTTAAACCTGTAAGCAGTCCAACTCTCTGTGTCGCCCTTATAACTATTCCGGGTTTATCATGCAACCATGCGCTGAAATGATTGCAATGAGATTGCTCATCACTGACATGCTCTTATAATTTGATTTGGATGTAACGCGTGTTCTGATTGGCTGAAAGTGTTTTGTCTATCAGCTCATAGACATAATTTTGTCATGTACCGTGAGATCACCAAAATTTTTTTTCTAAATTTACTTAAAATGGAATTTAGAATTAAATAATAAGGAATGACTGTAATATTTTGTCTGTCTATTCGAAATAAGCTAAAAAATGTGGTGCACACTTTTAAATAACACGCTACGCAGTTATTCAGTGCGCACCACATTTTTATGTTATATCTTTATAAACAGAAAAAAATATTACAGTCATTCCTTAAAAGAGGGACGAAAGATACCAGAGGGACAGTCAAACTCATAGATCGAAAACAAACTGACAACGCCATGTCCAAAAATAAAAAGACACACAGACAAATAATAGTACAGATGACACAACATAGAAAACTAAAGACAAGCAACACGAACCCCACCAAAAACTGGGGGTGATCTCAGGTGCTCCGGAAGGGTAAGCAGATCCTGCTCCACATGTGGCACCCGTCGTGTTGCTTATGTTATTACAAATCCGGTAAATAGTCTAATTCGGTAAGTCACATTCGTGAAAGGGGAAGGGTATTGTAGTTACGACATAAGGAACATATCCGATATCATCTGTGAAACGGTTATTCCATAACGGTCAACCAACTCGTGACGGCGTCCGTAAAATTTACGAAGGGATGATTTCAACTTCACCATTTGGAACTCTTGGCTTAATAGCTTCCTTGTGAGCAGCAATCCTCTATCAAGGAAATCATGATAGGAAACACAAGCCCGAGAATATCGTATCAATTGGGAGATATATACTCCGTATGTAGGCGCTGCTGTAATGTTGCTACATAGAAATGGAACGTTCACAATTGGGAAGCTGAAATCATCTCTTTTGTCGTAAAGTTTTGTTTTCAACCGACCCTCATTGTCAATTTCTAGATGTAAGTCAAGATATGAGGCAGACATTACTGTATCTGTAGTATCCTTTATCTCTAGTTCAATGGGATAGATTTGTTCAACATAGTCACCAAGTTTTGTATTATTTAGTGAGAGAACATCATCTATATAGCGGAACGTAGAGTTAAAGGATATTGCTAGCTTCTTATCTTTCTTCCTAAGAAGTTCCTGTATGAAGTCAGCCTCATTATAATAAAGAAACAAGTCGGCAAGAAGAGGGCACAATTGGTTCCCATTGGAATTCCGACAGTCTGTTGAAAAACACGTCCTCCAAACGTAACAAATATGTTGTCAATCAAGAAATCAAGCATCTTGATAATGTCAGTTTCAGAGAATTTTTTGTTTGAATCAGAGTGATTCTTTACAAAGTAGGATTTATCCCTCCCCAAGAAAAGATACTTGTATCTACGTTCGCCATTCTTTTTAATGAAACAAAGTAATACCAACTCTTTCAATTTGTCTTTTAGTTCGGAATGGGGAATACTTGTGTAAAGTGTAGTAAAGTCAAATGTTTTAATACTATTGCAAGACTTAAGCAATGGTAAGTAGACAAGAGAGAGAAAAATAATAAAATCTCTAGAAATATATGTAAACATACCATATATATATGGGTATAGAAAAATCTTCATGGAAAGGGACGTTAATTTTGATGCCTCTTGTAAGGAGAGTGCTTAAGTCTCTACACGTTTGCAACGAAATCTAGTAAAACGTTGTGGGAGTCTAATGCAAAGACTAAATGTATGCACATAACCGAAGTACCCATTTTCCATTGACAAATCTTTTCCCGCTTTTCATCCCTGTCGACCAACTTCTCAGAGTAGATATAACATCTCGATTATGCATGTGATATTTGAAACTGACTATTAAGCAAATCATACTATTTTCAATTTCAGTTACATTTTAATTTTATTTATATTATTGCCCATTAGCACTACAAACAACAAAACGCATAATTGACATGTTATGGCAATACAAATATTTGGTATCTTCCTACATTTTTCAGTTATTTCATAATACATTTGGATAGTTAAAAAATCTAAATTACAAATTGCAATATTATTTAATTTCACCGCTTAGATAATTGAGCACAGATAACTTCTTCCAAAAAGCCTATATCAACATGGTGAATATTTGTCAGTCATACATAAAAATGAAATACATTTAAAGAGGTACATGTATGTTATAAATTATCTAGCAATTAAAGTTAAAGACAATTTAAGCTTTTGCTTTCAAATATCCGGCTTTTGGCGTTCCTGATGAAGTTAGATCAAGAAATCCGTTTCGGAAGCAGGAAATTTTTAACGTGTTGTTTTTATTATTTGTTTATTAAAATTAAACCTTGAACAAAAAGTTTATAAAAGTATCTCTTAAATTGGCAAGACTTCAAAAAGTTTAAACCAATTCCGAATTGTGCACCAGCTTTGTATACTTACGTTTCACTCACTCTTGTTTTATCTACCTCTGAACCGCTGAGTTGTCCCTGGCCAAGCTTGGATCTATGAAACTATATTTAAACGACAATTAAGTCATGTATTATAATGGTTTCATTCGGGATAAATGAACACAAGGTTTCAGTATTTCCTAATCTAAAATAATTTTCTACGTTGAATTACGTTGAATTACAATTAAACAATACTCAATGTTTCTTGCTATGTCGAAGCACTGACCTGTTGTCAGATCCGTAAAGGGGTGCTAAAATTCCCACTTTTTATAATTTTTTCCACTTGCCATTATTGTATCCTAGATCTCAGTTTTTGACACCCTATAACCCACATCCCCACTTTTTATCCCCCTAATCAGTAGATACATGATCATACTTTCAATCAAATCTATAACAATATTTAGTACGAATAGCCTTTTGAAAATTGACGAAAATTGGGTTTTAAATTTTTTAGAAAAAAATGGCCTGATACCTCTTTGCTGCCTTCATTACGTAGATGCAGTGCTTCTCTCTCTGATATGACGTCATGGAATAAAAATATTTTGGGTTGAAGATTAGCAATTTCTACCTTTCCTTTGTAATATGGTATAACTGTACTACTTAAATAACAGTAGAGTTTCGATGATTCTTTTGGAGTCTACAATAGAAAAAAAAAAACATATTATTCAACACCAAAATTCAAGTCAATGAAATTATATTGTGTACAGAAATGCTGATAAATAGAAAGAGATGCACGTCAGCACATCAATGAGCCAACAAACCAACAACACAAAAAGATAAAATGATATCTATCACTAGTAGTCAACATGTGAACGATCAGTTTGATTTGAACAGGTCAAAAATGACTTAAAAATAAACTATTTAGACATAATGTATCCAGTCTGAACTAGTATACATTATTGTTTAAGGGCCAGCTGAAGCCCGACTCCGGGTGCGGGATTTTCTCGCTGTGAAGAAGACCCATTGACGGCCTTGTGCTGTTTTCTGCTCTTTGATAGGGTTGTTGTCTCTTTTGACACATTCCCCGTTTCCATTCTAAATCTTATTTCAATCCATTTCCACTGCGGTAATATCAGTACTGTTCAGACAATTTACCTATTGTCAATTAAGATCTGTTCAGACTGTTCAGTAACTGTTATGTACCCGTACAAAACAACCACGTAGTTCATTTTCTGACTTGCTATTGAACAGTACTGGGTCGAATGCAAGTCAACTTTATGAACTAAGGAAACGAAATTCACAACATGAAAATAACTGATAAATAACTTAAATTCTTAACAAGACTTAACGTTTCTAAGTTTAGACTTTTCAGATATTGTTAAGATAGAAATAATAGAAATTACCATTTCATCCTGCAATTTGTTTACAAGTGTAGATATGTCAACAATGAATAGGTGCTTATGCAAAATGACAAGCTTTTTATCGTCCAAAGACTAGAGTTCTTTATATAAAATTACAAAGTCACATCTGTATTTTTAAACTAACTTTTAAAGTTAATTAGAAGCACCTAAGATCACCATCCGTTTTGGATGGGGTTCGTGTTGCTCAGTCTTTAGTTTTCTATGTTGTGTTGTGTGTACTATTATTTGTCTGTTTGTCTTTTTCTATTTTAGCCATGGCGTTGTCAGTTTATTTTCGACTTATGAGTTTGAAAGTCCTTTTGGTTTCTCTCGCCTCTCTTTTAATTTTGGTAATTAAAAAAAATGGATTAACAGTGAAATAGCAAGGTCCCAAAGTGTCTTGATTCTTAAATAATTTGAGGCGACTGTAGTTTACTGATGACACAATCCCGTAAATCGAACAGGAAGAGACAAATCAAGATAACAAACAAAAACCTGAGGGAATCGTATGGACTCCAAAAGGAACTACAACAGGTGCGTTGACAGGGTAAGCGGCTCCTGCTATGCAATCATCATCCGCCATGCGAATTCACACTCAGCCAAAATATTACAATTAGGAATAGGACCCCATCGGTAAAATTACAGGTTATACTTAAAAGAGGGACGAAAGATACCAGAGGGACAGTCAAACTCATAGATCGAAAACAAACTGACAACGTCATGGCCAAAAATAAAAAGACAAACAGACAAATAAAAGTACAGATGGCACAACATAGAAAACTAAAGACTAAGCAACACGAACCCCACCAAAAACTGGGGGTGATCTCAGGTGCTCCGGAAGGGTAAGCAGATCCTGCTCCACATGTGGCACCCGTCGAGTTGCTTATGTTATTACAAATCCGGTAAATAGTCTAATTCGGTAAGTCACATTCGTGAAAAGGGAAGGGTATTGTAGTTACGACATAAGGAACATATCCGATATCATCTGTGAAACGGTAAAGCCATAACGGTCAACCAACTCGTGATGGCGTCCATAAAATTTACGAAGGGATGACTTCAACTTCACCATTTGGAACTCTTGGTTTAAAAGCTTCCTTGTGAGCAGCAATCCTCTATCAAGGAAATCAGGATAGGAAATACAAGCCCGGGAATATCGTATCAATTGGGAGATATATACTCCGTATGCAGGCGCTGCTGGAATGTTGCTACATAGAATTGGAAAGTTCACAATTGGGGTGCTGAAAGCTTAACTGTTATCGAGAGATCTAAGACCACGAAATTAGGTCGAGACACCGACACATCATATCGGTCAACCAATTCGTGATAGTGACCATGAAACATATGTGTTGTCGATTTCAGTCGTCTTTCCTCATAACTCTGTTCAAGCACTTTTTGTAAAAGGAGCACACCCTTGTCAATGAAGTCCGCAAAGTTTGAACACGCATGAGCGTAACGTATTAACATCATCAATTTACATGTCTCAGAAAGTGAATTACAGATTTTTGCCAGATGCTTTTTTTTTTTGTCTGTGAGAAGATTTGTATGAATTTTGCTACATATGAGTACTAAAACAGAAGTGGTGCACAATTTGTACCCATTGGAATAATGACTGTCTACTGAAATATCAAACCACCCAGTTGTCTCTTCATAACTATTGATAATCATCATCATATTCTTCTCTAACAAATTATATATAAAAATAAGAAGATGCGGTTTAATTGCCAATGAGACAAATCTCCACCAGAGAAGAAATGACATATAAGTTAACAGCTATAGGTCTCCGTACTACCTTCAAAATGAGCAAAACCCATACCTCATAGTAAGCTATAAAAGGCCAGGAAATGAAAATGTAAACAATTCAAACGAGAAAACTACGGCCTGATTTATGAACAAAATAATGAACGAAAAACAAATATGATACATAGCAACAAACGACAACCACTGAATTACAGGCTCCTGATTTGGGACAGGCACATACAGAAGGTGGCGGGGTTAAACATGTTAGTGGGCGCCCAACCCTCCTCTAACCTGGGACAGCGGTGTAACAGTACAACATATGAACAAACTAAAAAATCTGTTGATAAGGGCTTAATTCATCAGATCACAAAAACACAGACAGGACGTGGCAGGGTATTTATACATCCCTACAACAAAAAAGACATGAGTACAGATCTGAGAGTACTCACAGTTTCTGACAGCTAATGCAAAGCCAAAAACAACTAATAAAAAATCATGTATCTAAGATTAAAGTATCAATCAGCACACATCCAACATCTAATGGATTTAGTGTAAAGACGTCATTAACAGTTAGAGAAAAACATGACATATGGCAGCCTAATACATATCTTTCGGTTCTCGCTACATAACTTTATATAATCATCATCATATTCATTTCTAACAAATGATATGTCGGGTTCTTATACATACTTTTTGGTTCTCTCTACATAACTGTTTATAAGCATCATCATATTCCTCTCTAACAAACGATATGTCGGCTTCCTCCTCCTCGTTAATATCAATTTGTTCATTTTCGTTTAAGACTTCGTTGTGTTCTAGATAATACATTAATGTACACACATATAATATAGCATTACTAATATTCACATGAATGTTGACTGCATTGTGTTGCATACTTAACAACAACAATTATAAAGGTTGTAATTACCTGTTGATAAGGCAGATCATAAGGTATTGACAATTTTTTTTATTATTTTCTATGATTTAGATGTTTTAACACAAATAGATAGTTTTCTTAGTTAATTTTTTTTCTAAAATGAATGTGTTTTTTTTTAATTAATAATAAATTTTTTACCTTGGAAGGCCCTCTATTCTTATACCTCCTCCCCCTCCCCCCCAAAAAAAATAAAGATTATATGTTCGTTACTGTAAATGCTATGTTTTCTTGTAAAGATTTTTTTCATTGTACATTTCTAAATCCATTAAAAAGGTAGAGATCTTAACATCATATTTATTTGAAGACATCTGCAAAACCGAATGCATGTAAATTTAATATTCTTATTTTCAATATGATCATTATCCACTAAGAAAATTCCAGACTAATTTCATCAATTGTTCTATTCCATTTATCATGGACTCTATTTTGTTAGGCATTGATATTTTTACAAGAACGTTGTAGAAAGTTTCCAATTTTTGGTGAATTTGTGGTCACATTTGATTTTTTGTGTAGAAACGTCGTAGAACATTGTTTGTTTGATATGTTGTTCGTTTTAAATGATATATACCCCATAAAAATGGAAGTATTGCTATAACTGGAGGACACACAGACATACTGATCTATACATACTTCTCATTTAGTATTATGGATTTTAAAATAATGAAAAAAATATTCAAGCTCCGAGACTATCCGTTGCCTCGCTTGAAAGCTTCTGTTTTATTTCTTTATTGTAAATTACAACTCTAATGATTTTAAGTTCAGTATTTCAATATTAATTTTTGATAAACATAATGATTTTACATTCCTTACCATCTGTGATTAAACTCCCTAAAATTGCTAATGCTTTATGATGCAACCCTGCCTACAAAATAGATACATTATTATAATAATATTATTAGCAGTTAAAGTTGAAGCAGTCATCTCCATGTTGACAATAACATCCCCCTTCCTTGGACTCCTAGGAATCCGCCCCTGAAAGATTCTACCGTCTGTTATTTTTTTGTCACACTAAGTATTCACATTAAACAATTATTAGATATAAGAAGATGAGGTATGAGTGCCAATGAGACAACTCTCCATCCAAGTCAAAATTTATAAAAGTAAACCATTTTCGGTCAAAGTACGGTCTTCAACACGGAGCCTTGGCTCACACCGAACAGCAAGCTATAAAGGGCACCAAAAATTACTAGTGTAAAACCATTCAAACGAGAAAACCAACGGTCTAATCTATATAAAAAAAACGAGAAACGCTTATGAACCAAATCAACAAACGACAACTACTGAACATCAGATTCCTAACTTAGGACAGGTGCAAACAGTTATGTCTGTTTGGGTTGCTCACCCGATTTTGTCAATATAACGAAACTATAAACAACTGTCATACAAGTGGGATTTTAAAAGAGAGGCAAAGGATACCAAAGTGACATTCAAACTCAAAAGTCGAAAATACACTGACAACGCCATGGATTAAAAAGAAAAAGACAAACAGACAAGGAGTCTGTTTTTCAGTGGTTGTCGTTTGTTGGTGTGGTTCATAAGTGTTTCTCGTTTCTCGTTTTCTATATAGATTAGATCGTTGGTTTTCCTGTTTGAATTGTTTCACACTAGTCATTTGGGGACCCTTTATAGCTTGCTGTTTGGTGTGAGCCAAGGCTCCGTGTTGAAGGCCGTACTTTGACCTATAATTGTTTACTTTTTACACATTGTGACTTGGATGGAGAGTTGTATCATTGGCACTCATACAACATCGTCTTATTTATATAAACAACAGTACACAAAACAACATAGAAAACAAAAGACTGAACAACACGAAGTCCACCAAAAACTGGGAGAGATCTCGGGTGCTCCGAAAGGGTAAGCAGATCCTGCTCCACATGTGGCACCGTCTTGTTGCTCATGTAAGTACAAACCCAGTGATATGTCTAATTCGGTAGGTCACATTCGGGGGAAGGGGACGAGATTGTAGTAATAAAAAGAATAGAGAATAATTGGCAAAAAGTGCAGAATACAGAAAAATGAGTTAAATGAACAAAGAATAGAGAAATTGGTCTAAAAAAAAAAAAAATAAAGAAAATGAGGGACTCCTCCATCCAGACCCTCTTATATATTGTCAATTTTTCTAGCCTTCAGGTTTTTTTTAGATTTCAATAATAGAATATGGCTGTCGAGACAAAATTATTTATTACGATGTTGAATAACATAATATATGTAGTTCTAACCTGTTCATATATGGACGACACTACTTTAAGGATTGAAGCCTCGTTTACATTTTCGTCTAGGAAGGAAGTAAACGGAAGTCTGCGCAGTAAAGCTTCACTCCAAAGTCTTGCCTCATTCAGCATGCTGCTGTCTTTAGCTATACTAACAATCTTGAGTATCTGTGACGGATTAAGCGGTTGACAATGCTCATCAAAAAGAACACCATTGATTGCCTCGTCGATGTTGAAATAATAAAACGTGCGCAGGCGTAATAACGCCTGTGCTGATGCTTGAACGTCGTACTCATCTGGCCAGTGACCAATTTTTCTAGTAACAACTTGATAGGTTGCATTTAAATCTGAAAATAAATACAAAATGTGATTCACCGTTACAACAATATATAAAAATGCAGTTATACGGTTATTGTTTTAAACTGTTAAAGACAATTATCAGGAACAATAAGGTCAAAAAAAGATCATCTTAGGTGCTCCGGAAGGGAGATATGTTCAGATGATCCATTCATACTTCAACATATCTTCACAAGGTCAAAGGAATTGTAAAACTGATGACTACTCAACACAGTCTGAATGACATTGATGTAAGCGGTGCTTGGTCATCGTACATTCTATATTTAGAGCATTTCTCTCTATTCTCTTAAATTCTCAAGAAAATCATTTTACTATTATTTTTTCCTGTGATTAAATGATTATTCATTTCTGTCATCAGTATTTTATTACCTAGTAACTCTTTTATTTTCCACCGTTATTCTCTATACGTTTGCTCTCCAGTTATTCTCTATTCTTTATTTCTATTGCTCAATTTTCTCTATTCATTTTTTTGGCCATATTATCTAATATGTAAACCTCATCCAGACCCTCATATAACTTCTTACTGAATCATTTGTTACCATCAAATATATATATACTTAATAATAAAATGTTGTATATGTTTTTTAGACGATATAATTTCACGTCTCAACATTTCTTCATAATAACAACATCAAAGGATTAGAGTACAATAATTGTGAAACTGGTGTGTTGATATTGCCAATGAGATATCTGAAAGACATGAATGTAAGCTACGACAATTCATCGTACGGTCTTCAACAATGAGCAAAAACCGATACTGTATAGTCAGCTATAACAAAAAACGCGACATGACATATGTGAAACAATTCTGACACTTTTTTATAGATCTTACTTAAAAGTCGTTCCTCTAGAAGATTAAACTGCTATTTTTCCTTTAAAAGCATAACATTATATCGTATTTAGGAATTCGATGAATAATACATTTATGTGGTCTTTCATAATAGTTATTTTTACAAACACGTACGTGTCCTGAAAACTAAAATCGGATAGCAAGTTTGTCGACTCTGGCATCATTTAAATAGTACAGTTTTTGTAAATTGCCTGTTTATCTTAAATGTTAATGTTTCAAAATTTCCAAAAAAATAATTTAAGGTTGACAATTTCTAAGATTTCCTAGATTGTATGTTCTTTGTTTTTTAAATGTATGCTCACAAACATTTATTTGTACTTTAAGCTTTCAAAACTTTATCCCACCTGGTAACGGAAATTCCAGGAAAAAAGATGCCGGCAATCTGAATCGTTATTGTACATTTTTTTCTTATACAAACTATACAATCCACAGACAATACTTCAAACACTTTAAACCTTTATGACTCACCTGATGCAGCATCGTCTAATGTACAATCTTCACATAGAATACTGCTATAAACAACTGGCCATTTATAAACAAATCGACCTATCAAGTGGAAGGCATTTATTGGATGTTCTGCATATCTTGGATCCTGAAAACTCTCTGTTACTATTGGTTCTAGGTCATTTAATAATCTGAAATTAATGTGAAAACTTACCTTTCTTTCACATATGTAAACGCATATGTATTCATTTGAATTAAATAAGAAACATGTATTAATGCATAATTAACGCCTTGGTGTGTTAACATTCGAAGCAGAAAAGTTAAAGAAAGGAACAAATTTTAAGCACCAGATTTCAAAATAGTCAACTGAACCCCAAGTTGTTGAAAATAGAGAAACTAAAAATTGCTCGAACTGAATGTTTTAAGTCATACTGGTCCCAGATCACTTTATCTCAGCATATGATACTCTCACGTAAAACCAGTTTTGGTGGGGTTCGTGTTGCTCAGTCTTTGGATTTTTTGTGTACTGTTGTTTGTCTGTTTGTCTGTTTGCCTGTTGGTCTTTTTCTTTTTTAGCCATGGCGTTGTCAGTTTATTTTCGACTTATGAGTTTGAATGTCCCTCTGGTATCTTCCGCCTCGCCATATCATAATTATAATATCTAATTTTTGGCATCCATTTTTCAACTTCCCGAAGATCTGACTACATGTAAACAAGTATATTTGAATGAGATATATAGTTCCTGAAATTATTTAAATGAAAGGGTGAATAGCAGCAAGTACCAGTAACGTCTGAACAATACGGCCAATATGGGTTATATTTTTCTTTTATAATAAGACACGTGGTAAAAACATGGGAAGACATTTATTTCTGACTCCAATGGCAAGTAAAAAACAGAAAACAGAAAATTTTCCAAATTTCATTTTTCCAGCTAAATTAAGAAAACGTCAGAGTGGCGGGCTTTAATATCGGTCTCATTGTTGTCTTTAGAAAGTAGCAACAACACTCGTTTCTTAGGGCTTGCTATCAGACTATTAATATCCAATGTCCAAATAACCAATGACTCACTGCACGTTAAGCAACAATCCATTAACTTATAAAAGTGACCATCTACTTAAAGAATTAGAAAAGCTAAGATGTTTTGAAAGATGAATTATCCAAAGATTTCATTCTTTCCTCCCAGATGTCTTGTATTTTTAATAAAAAAAAGAGGTCGGGGGTTACGTAGAAAGCTTTTTTTAAATCTGTAATTAAATTAAATCTTAGGTTGCATCTTCCTAGAGTTAAGTAGTCCAAATACTTATGACGTCGAAGGAACGCGTCACAGCAAAACACTAAATAGCCTTTCAAATCATCACAATTATTTGGACTACGTCGAGCAAAGATGACCGTAGACGTCTTACTTTTAACAAAGTAGTTTTCACATCAGGGACAGGATTAAGGTGGGTCTCATTGGGGTCTAAGCTTGATGCAGGATTGGCCGAATTTTTGTAAGCGGGAGACGTTAAAGTCAAAATATTTTGCGTGAAAACGGGAAACGAAGTCGGGCGGAACACGTGAAATTACAAGCGGTATTACTACAATGATAAGCGGGATACGGGATTCTGATATAACAATAAGCAGGATCCGGTATCGAGCGTCAGTGGTGAGTCGTTTGTAGACGTACACGCGTCTGGCGTACAAACGTCTGGTGTACAGAAATTATAAGCCTGGTGGTATCTTTGATGAGTTTTTATAAAATGTGAAAAGATAAAAACAAAACAAGAAAATAAAAAAATAGCTATTGGTAAAGAAAAAAGACAATTTAAGAATCACTTCCTACCTTTGAAGCTCAAACGATATTGATTTCTGATCTCTGGCTTGTGTAGATATGTATTTATTAAAAGCTGACAGTAATTTTCCTTCCTCCTTGGATATTATAGACAGTTTATATACAGATGAAAATATTTCTCCGTGTATATGACAAACGTGCAACAATGAAACACAAAAGTATAAAAATTTCCTCAAACGTTTCATCATAATAAGCAGTAGAATTAAATCCGTTATATATTTTTCATAAGTTATTAAACTTCACCATCTGTGTGTGTCGATCGTTTGAATATTTTAACTCAACATATATCGTACATGGATCTGTTGTCGTGGGTACGTTCTATGTAATCCTAATTTTAATTAAAAATTTTTAGAAAATCTTTTAGAAAACTTCTTTTAAAAAAATCGGTAAAAGATAACACATTCACATTTGAATCGTTTGGATGATAAAAGACGTTCAAACGTACGACTTTGAATGTTTTTACACGTGAAAACACGATGTATTGAATATATAATCACCTTACTTTGTTTTCGACAAATTTGACAATATGTTGCAGCTTAAAGATTTAGTTTAAGTTAGACATGGGATAATTACTGTAATAACATGTACAAATGTACACATAATATAAACGCACTACTTACATTAAAGTCAATCTTATAAAAGAATGCCCAATGCAGAAGAAATGTCTTGTTTTTACAAATATACAGATTGAGAAACAGACAAATGTAAATCAAACTCTAACAAAAACAACCTTGTCTCCACAAAACAATGTTTTCTGAGACTGACATCATCAAAATGCAGGTTGTCTTGATTGATTTGTTCACGTGTTTTTATTTGTATGAGGCAACTTGGGAGACGTTCAAAAATAATGAACAACATTAGCATATTCTTCACCTGTCTCTATATAGATTATGTCCTCTCACTGATTAATTTAAAGTTTGGGTACTATGCTAATTGCATGTATCCCATCCAATTTGAAATAAAGGATACAACAGATACAAATATGTTTGCTTCATATCTTGACTTGAATCTAGAAATTGACAGTTAGGATCGGTCGGTTCTAGAATATTCGTTTTGATTATTATTTCACTCTTAAAATATAAGTTGATTTAGAAAATATTGGATTCATTGTTAAGACATGCAATAGGCAGGGATTTGAATAAAGGGTAGTTCCTTCATAAGGGTTGTACTATTCTTATCGTTGCTATTGTAAGGCAATGCAAATATGATCTAGTCTGTTCCAAAACAAATATTAGGTAAGAATAACATTTTTAAAAGCACTGGAATGGTGATTATGAAGTGTTATTCCTATAATATGTAAAAGTCCGTTTAGACAGGTGTTGCACATGAAGCAGGGTATGCCTTCCCATATGAAAATCAATCAGTCTGGGAGGGCTTAAGTCTAAGTGTAAAGAGTTTGCTATTTATGCATTTTTTCCTGATTTGTATTTATATTTTAACACACCATTGTCCTGTCGTGTATGGCTGTTTCATTCCTGTATTGTGCATTGGATTTCAATTTGTTACCTTTTTGATACAGACGGTTCGGAATCATCTACTTTCGTCATAGAAATCGACAGTTTGGAGAAAAATTTTCTTATGATTTTTAGACAGAAATATATACCGGTCTTCGAACTAGACAACTCTTGTAAAAACAGATAGTTAACAACAGTTCTGCTATACACGTAATTTGGAATCAGGTTATCATCAACATCAAATATGTTATTATTAGTGTTGTTACTACGATGCAATATCCCATGCTTAGAGTTGTATTTTAATAATAGAGTGTTATCTGTTTTGGGAACCAGAACAATCTTTTGTTTGATGTGTTTGAGCTTTGATTTTGCCATTGGATAAGGGACTTTCTGATTTGAATTTTCCCTGGAGTTCGGTATTTTTGTTATTTTACTTTTTAACAGAACCCTTTTTATTTCATTAGCCAACTAGACAGATTTTTCAATAATAGAATAGCCTCCATGAACCTTCCACCAAATCACAACCATGGGATTCCGATTGAGTTAACAGAGCTGTTTGGACGCATAGACTTAGAGTCGAAGAATTAACTTTGGATCTCAAAGTCAACTTCAGCACTGTAGAAGTCAAACTGACATAGAATCAAGTTGAGGTACCCAATACTAAGAAAAGGACACAACCCAACAAGGCCCTAAACAAAAGAGGAAATCGTCACCTTCTACAAGAAAGGAAACGCTCAGAGTCTAGCCCCAGTGGAAGGTGAAAACTAAGCTAAGATTACTAGCGTGTTATAGCCTTACTATAAAAATCCTTGGATAAAGTAATCTCAGGAGAAACGAAAAACTGCCGTTTTGAGCACACCGGAAGTTGGTACCACCACAACAGCCACTGAAATGGTAGATTCTGCAATAAAAATAGCTTCCGCTAGACATGCCACAGGAAGCAGGAAGAACCATCACCAGAAAAAAAGTCAAACCAAATAAGTAGCAGTCTAAGCAGTAACAAAAAATATATCCGAGGCGTATACGTATACATAACACCGATTAAAGACAATAGGAAGAAAAAGAAAGTATGAATTTAGTAGACAGTCTGTGCTACAAAAAATGATGCGATGAGTCATGTCGATATAGACAATTTTCAAGTAAAATGTACAATATTAGTCTGGGAATGGTATACTTCATGGTCTTTGCATGCCACTGAAGTTACACTTTATATTAACAGGTATATAGTTAGAAAAAAATAGCTGACTTATTAAAGGTTTTTCGAAAAGCAGAGTGTTATTTTAGTATAAGGTGACGTTGGGATAGTCCTCTGTTTAAGTCACAGGCACTTAATTGTCTATGAAAATTTTTCTACCTATATACCCTTTAATATAAAGTGTAACTTCAGTGGCATGCAAAGACCATACACTGATTGTTTAAACTTCAAAGTGCACATATTGGAACATAAACAGTTCAGGATAAACATAGGTTCTAGTAATATAAACTTCAATTGGAAATATTAACAGTTATGTATATAAATGAAAACAAATGGTTTACATGTTTATATGGGGTCAACTACTTATGAGGCGCCTTTTTTCTATTTATTCCTTATTTTCTGATATCAAAAATATTTTTTTTATCAAAATACTGAATTCATGTCAAAACATAATTCTTGATATTAGAAAATCAATTTGTATTTAAAAAAAAATGCCTATTTTGATATCAAAAATTCGATTTCTTGATATAAGAAAATCGTCCTCATTTCAGGCGGACACAGCTGAACACAGTGCTATTTCTATATAAAAATTACAGAACAGGGGGCTACAGGCGGACACAAGTGGACCCAACGTTATTTCTATTTAAAACTTATAGAAACTGATGGCTACAGGCAGACACAGCTAGACACAGTGCTAATGATATATAAAACTTTAAGAAACAGGAGGCTACAAGCGGACATAAGTGGACACAACGTTATTTCTATATAAAACTTATAGAAACTGGTGGCTACAGGCGGACACAGTGCTATTTCTATATAAAAAAAAATCAGAAACAGGGGGCTACAGGCTATAACTTGTTGTTTGTTGAAGTGGTCATAAACTTTTTAAAAATTTAACCCCACTGGTCAGGTCATATTTCAACCAAACTTAGGATGAAAGATCCTTCGAATGATCAAGGATGAGAAAATATGTTATTTTGTGTTCCTGTCTATGAAAATAACAATAAATGAATTTTGCTTTTATCTTAAATAATATAATTTATCATAGTTGAGGTACCAAGTTTACTATCTAAAGGATTTTCAATTAACAGAAGGCATATTGGCATTCTTAATTAATACGGAAAAAAGATTTAGAGCTTGACATATTATACAGATATCTAAAATATAACATAAGAAAACAATTGATCGTAAGAAATCCTTTATTTCAAAGTCCATTGGTTTTTAATACTGGTACAGCATTTCAATTAAAAGAAAGACTATTGTCCTTTTTAATTAATGGAGTCAACAATGTTAACACCTCTTCAACTATGAGCATATCTATGAGAAAAGAAAAATAACTTTTTAATAAATAAGTTTTTAAATGTTGCGAACATAAGGTACCATTTAGTGATCATATATTAAATGTAACAGTAGAAAAATAATCATTTGATGTATAAGATTTCTTAAAGTTATTCCAAAGTCAATTAACCTATATGAGTCTGTGCTTGAAAAGAGTTTATCAGATAATGGAAGGGCTTGTACAAATAAAAATTTATGAAGATTTTTGTTGAAAATAATCCTTCTGCATATATTGAATGTACTTTCAACAGAAAGAAAAGGAACAAATAGCATACTAAATTAATATAAAATGGTCTTAAGCCTGGAAATAGCTGTGGGTCAATTTAAGTGATAGCACATATTTACTTATAAAAATGCCATAGAAGTAGAAATTCCTTATTTTTTTTTACTCATTTCTATGCTTAGAATCCACGTCTCACTCCGTACTTACTGCACGAAATGGATAAAACGAGAAAAAGCTGACAAAAAATCCTTAGATTCTTTCTTCAATTCAGAAATGAACATAATTCGGAAGGAATATAGTTACGATACTGTTGTCTGCAGGTCATTAAGGATTGCATATTTTGGTATTAATATTGATTCACTCATATAGGGTCTTTGCATCAGAAATAAACACATTTATTCTAAAACCAGTTGTTGGTATGATACGGGTTATGTTCTTCTCATATATTTTATGATGGTATGATGCTAAACCCCTAACGGGAGGGATTGTACTTGATTTTCATATGATTAAGACATAATCTTTCAATCAGTTTAATTGAGGTCTGGAGCTGGCATGTCAGTAACTGCTAGTAGTCCTTTGTTAATTTATGTATCATTGTCATTTTGCTTAGTTTCTTTTGTCACCTATTCTGACATCGGACTCGGACTTCTTTTAAACTGAGTTTTACTGTGCGGACTCTGTGCGTATTGCCAGAGACATATAATATATTATATGTCTCTGGTATTGCTATGTGTTTCTTTATTCTACATTGGCTAGAGGTATTAGGGGGGGGGGGGGGGGTTAAGATCTCATGAATTCGAATTTTGATATCACAAAATCATTTTTTGGTATCATGAAATCATTTCTTGATATCTCAAAATCATTTTTTGATATGAAAAATCAATTTCTTGATAAAAATAAGAATGAATCATAAAATCAGTTGATTTTTTTAATATTAAAAATAATGAATTTTCTATTGTCTATTTCAAAGTATTTTTGTTACTTCTAATATTTGAATATATTCTTATATGGAAAGAAATCAAATTGTTAAATTTTTTATATCAGAGCGAGCATAAGGAAACAGTAAAACGGTATCTCGTAGCTCAGTACAGAACAAATTTTCCCGCCATTTTTTGTTTGTTTGGTTTTTATTATCTCCCTCATTTGTTATGGTTTAAACTTCCTGTTTCGAGAAAATGAAAATAAACAGGACACACATGATCTCTTTGAAAAGTAATCTACGCTATTTATATAAAACTGACAGTTACTCCCCAATGCTTGAATGTGAGTACTTTGATTGCATATATAATTTTAAAATTCTTAGAAATTTAACCTTTATTCAAATAGTGTTTTTTTTCAAAGACTGTAACTGTTTGGAGGGCGTGTTGACTCATCATGTGTTTTATCAATAGTGAAAGTTCAATGTATATTTGCTGAAGGATTTTTTTATAATTTGAAGTTCAATAGTCAAGAAATGAAGGACAAGTCACACTTTGATCAAGCTCTTGTGTTATTTTTAAATAATTTCCTCAATTACAGTCACCTGAATTTCTAGCAATGAATAATTGAAAATAGTGTAATAAATAATTATAATCATGATAATTACCTATATTATTATAAGACTAAAACATTTCTATTTTCTCATTGGCTAAAAGCATACCCTCTTTGATAAAACATTTTATTGGACACCTCGGGGGAAATCACAAGAGTCAAGAGGTTAAACATAATATAAGATTTGGAACAGCTAACATGTACCTTAATACAGATATTCCAAGGCAACATCAATGACTACCATTTATGACATTATGCAAATTGTCGTTTTTTCTTTTTCTTCTTGTTTTCGGTGTGTTTTTTTTAGTTAACTATTGAATATTTCATCTTATGAAAGTTAGCGACTGCAAAAGCAGATGATATATTTAGTATATGAGCAGTTTGAAAAGTAGCTTCAGAAAAATACTTGAAAATTGTTGAAGGATAAAAATTCATATAATAAAACAATTGTTGACCATTGGCCTCAGTGAATATCACATCCCTAGGGTTGATAAATCATTGTACCAACCTCGTCTAAAGTCAATAATTGTATACATTTTGTATTATCATTTTCCCCTGTTGTCAATCACTTAACATGGTTATTGAGAGATATTCAGGTGACTGTGGCTCAATACAAATGTACTTTGTCCAGATAATCATACTATCTGCTCATGTTATTTTGATTTTTATAGATAGATAGATCCCTCTGACATTGCAGGGAATTTCATTTCAAAGTTAATCTTAAAATAATCATCTGATAATGTCCTGATATTTAAACTACAACTTTATTGAAGGATCATTCACTTGTACGCTCAGCATGGTCAGTGGTTACACAGGTAAATTTCACTCACATGAATTGAGATTTACATGAATCTCGTGAATTTCACCTAACACATGTCAGATGAGCTAGAAACGTGAAACTGAAGTACAAAAATGTAAACTGATTTCACTTAAGTTTCACATGAAAATCACAAGAAATATGTTCATGTAAAATTCACAGGAATTTTTAAAATAAAGTTAATCTGATAACATCTAAATTTTCAAATTAAATTAAAATCATCATGATCATGAAAAATATCTTCGAACTTTTTTTGTAAAGTTCTCGTGAGTTTCACGTACGGTACATTGACGTATAAACTTGTTTTAGGTTAATTTCTCATATGAATTATGTGAGCAAAATTTGCCTGTGTACATGTAGTTTTGAGGATTTGAATACATGTACAGAGTCAATGTTTCTAAACCAAACTTCTGTTGCCCTAGGTACATAAAAAAGAGTATTTCCAAACATATTCTCTGTTCAAGAATTTCAGGAAATAATACTGTATTTTTCAGGTTTTTGAAAAGATTAATGGAGTAATTTTAAAATTGAGCACAAATGTGAAACATAAGCATGATCAGTTCAATATTTATATTGTAACACATTTTCCTAAGCTTATTATTAATCATTTTAGTAGTTTGCTTGAATGTGTTATTCATCCCAATCAGTGAATGTTTAGAAATAATACTAAATCAAAGCAGAGAAGATGTTGTGTAATAGTTTTATATTTAAATCGGGGCTCATACCAAAACAGTAACTTTTAATTATCTAAAATACCATGATTCTGACAAGAGAAGCCTTGAAAATGCAGGACTTGATAAAATTCTTGATCAAAAGATAAGTCTAGAACAGGGATTAAATTAAAGGTTTCAGTACATGTATGTACCTTTCATACTAACCCTTATATTTCTGATTATATTGGATCACATGACCATCAGTAGTGTTCGTAGGTCATCTTGATGGTTAATAAGATGGTGTTTAGTCCTAAAATTGCTGGAAATGCTGAAACTTTATTTCAATTTCATACATTGGTTATTATTTCCTACAGAACTTTTTGTAATTCTGGTAAATATTTTGGTATGTTATAAATCAGGTTTTGAGTCAATTTAATGGTAATGAATTTGGCAGCTTATACCCCTGCAAAGGAGTTAATATGTCCCTTCAAAATGTAGATTATACGAAAAAAATGTGAAATTTGTAAGTGCTCTCAAGCCTATATTTCTTGTCAGATTTATAAGAAACTTGTATCAAAATAATCACTGCCAATCAACTATTTTTACAAGAGTTGTGCACCTTGAAATAGAAATGACATGTACGGTTATGTTGAAAATTGCTTTGCAGGTCAATGTAGGTGATCTCACACTTCCATTTCTTGTAGGATATTTATGAAAAAGTTGAAAGAACAAAACGAAATATTGGGAGACATACAAAAGATGTGCAGTAGCATCAGAAATTTGGAACACTCATTCTTTTATTATTTCTGATTTATTATAAATCTGTCACGGTAAAGTTACTGAAATTTATTCAAATGGAAAAAAGTCAGTTATAAAGCACCTGCATGATAGGGGATCTACATACTTTTTTTAACCAGTTGTTTTGATTATCACTGAGTGTATGTGACAGTATGCAATATTAAGGCCAACAAAATATAAACATGATAAATGTGTTTACTGTCACATGAAAAAAATTAAGGTCAGTATTTTAAAAAAAAAAAATTTTTAACCATGAGTCTATTGGTCATTGCTGGTATGATTGTAATGAAAAATGTGATAGGTCGCCTCGGGTGACAGTACACACACATAGTGACATACTTTTTATTTTGACTAGATGCGAAAGTACTCGGTATGTATAAGAATTTCCATAGGGTATGTAGTTCAAATTATCTGAAATGCTCTGACTTATCACTTTTATAATCTATATCATTGATCATATTTTTATAGAAATTTACATCTGTTCTAAGACATGATGGTTTGACAGAGATGTCTGACACAGAGGTAAAGTCAGATCCAGAGGATGACACCTTGTCTCCTGAGGAAAGCTTGCTGTTGTATGCCAGGAATGGAGATATTAGTGGTGTAGAGAGCCTTCTAGAAAAAAGAAATGGAAAACAGATTTCTTTAGATCTAAATTGTAAAGGTTGGTGTGTTTGTTATTTTAGGTCAGTACATCTTTATTGCTGTCAGATTATTTAGAGGAGAACACCCAAGAACCTATTGGTGACAAACTCACATATGTCATGTACATGTACCAGTAGTAAAGCACACTTTTTTCATTTTCTAATATAAGCTGAGCTCAAGTACCCACATATGCATGTACTATATACAGTAATGATACACTGTATGTAAAAAATGGTCAGTGCAGATTAATAGGATTGGCTACCCCTATTACTCAATCCCCATGTCACCATGCACTATAGTGATGATATATATAGAAATGGTCTGTACATTTTGATATGACTGGTTACCTCTATCACCTGATTACCAGGTCACCTTACTTCAAAGATTAAATTATACTCTCTAAATTCAAAAAAGATTTTTAACTGTACAGAATTTGTGACAAGATTTTGCAATTATTACAATTTAGTCAAAACTTGCAATAAATGTTTGCTAAAAAAATATTCTGCAGTATGCATCGGAAATGCTCAAGAACTGTTTAACTGTTGACAGTTCACATTAAAATGTATTGATAATGCTGTTATAATTAACATTTTGGTTCTGACAACAATTACATTAACTGAGCTATCACCACTCAAGGTGCATTCCATTAGTCATAACATGAATTTCCACTTACATGGAGAACTCCGTATTTTGACCTTTGGCATGAATTATTACATTCATCTTGATAAATTTTCAGTTGATTAATTTTTTAATTTCTATAGCTCCCTTTTTTAGCTCACAGGTGCCCGAAGGGCCCCTTGTGAGCTTATGCCATCACTTGGCATCCGTCGTCTGTCTTCGTAAACTATTTCAAAAATCTTCTCCTCTGAAACTACTGGGCCAAATACCTTCAAACTTTATTTAATATTCCTTAGGGTATCTAGTTTATAAATTTGGCTTATATCTCAAAAACTAAAGCTTTTAGAGCAAATCTGACATGGGGTAAAATTGTTCAATTGGTCAAGATCTATCTGAAATTTTCAGACGAATCGAACAACCCATTGTTGGGTTGCTGCCACCGAATTGGTAGTTTTAACAAAATTTTGCAGTTTTTTGTTATTATTTTGAATATTATCATGGATATATATAAACTGTAAGCAGCAATAATGTTCAGCAAAGTAAGATCTACAAAAAAGTTAATATGACCATAATTGTCAATTGACCCCTTAAGGAGTTATTGCCCTTTAAAGACAATTTTACACAATTTGTTCATCAAGTTTGCTAACATTTAATAATCTTCTCCTCTGAAACTACTGGGCCAATTACCTTCAAACTTAAACTAAATGTTCCTTTGGGTATCTTGTTTAAAAATTGTATCTGAAGTTTGTATCCATCTTTAAACATGGCCGCCATGGCTAAAAATAGAAAGTAAGGGTCAAATGCAGTTTTTGTCGAGCCTGAGACTTTTGTCGCAGAAAGCTCGACATAGGGATAGTGATCCGGCGGCGGCGGCAGCGGCGGCGTTAGCTAACTTCTTAAAAGCTTTATATTTTAGAAGGTGGAAGACCTGGATGCTTCATACTTTGTATATGGATGCCTCATGTTACGAAGTTTCCGTCAGTCACATGTCCAATGTCCTTGACCTCATTTTCATGGTTCAGTGACTACTAGAAAAAAAAGTTAACATTTTTTGTAATGTTAAATTCTCTCTTATTATAAGTAGTAGGATAACTATATTTGGTATGTGTGTACCTTGCAAGGTCCTCATGCCCGTCAGATAGTTTTCACTTGACCTCGACATCATTTCATGGATCAGTGAACAAGGTTAAGTTTTGGTGGTCAAGTCCATATCTCAGATACTATAAGCAATAGGTCAAGTATATTCGGTGTATGGAAGGACTGTAAGGTGTACATGTCCAACTGGCAGGTGTCATCTGACCTTGACCTCATTTTTATGGTTCAGTGGTTATAGTTAAGTTTTTGTGTTTTGGTCTGTTTTTCTTATACTGTATGCAATAGGTCTACTATATTTGGTGTATGGAATGATTGTAAGGTGTACATGTCTAGCTGGCAGGTGTCATTTGACCTTGACCTCATTTTCATGGTTCAGTGGTCAAAGTTAAGATTTTGAGTTTTGGTCTTTTTTCTAATACTATATGCAATAGGTCAACTATATTTGGTGTATGGAAATATTTTATGATCTCTATGTCAGTCGCGCAGGTTTTATTTGACCTTGACCTCATTTTCACAGTTCATTGCTCAGTGTTAAGTTTTTGTGTTTTGGTCTGTTTTTCTTAAAACTATAAGCAATAGGTCAACTATATTTGTTGTATGGAAGAATTGTTAGCTGTACATGCCTGCCTGGCATGGTTCATCTGACTTTGACCTCATTTTCATGGTTCATTGGTCAATGTTTAGTTTTCTTGGTTAATGTTAAGTTTATGTGACAGTTGTAATAAAGCTTTATATTAAGGACTATCAACATATCAGTGATGAGTAAAGAAGGCGAGACATTTCAGCGTGTGCACTCTTGTTGGCTTATATCTCAAAAACTAAATCTTTTAGAGCAAATGTGACAGGGGTAAAATTGTTTAATTGGTCAAGATCTATCGGCCCTGAAATTTTCACGAATCGATAACCCATTGTTGGGTTGCTGCCACCGAATTGGTAGTTTTAACAAAATTTTGCAGTTTTTTGTTATTATTTTGAATATTATTATAGATATATATAAACTGTAAGCAGCAATAATGTTCAGCAAAGTAAGATCTACAAAAAAGTTACTATGACCATAATTGTCAATTGACCCCTTAAGGAGTTATTGCCCTTTAAAGACAATTTTACACAATTTGTTCATCAAGTTTGCTAACATTTAAAAATCTTCTCCTCTGAAACTACTGGGCCAATTACCTTCAAACTTTAACTAAATGTTCTTTAGGGTATCTTGTTTATAAATTGTATCCGAAGTGTTGATCCATCGACAAACATGGCTGCCATGGCTAAAAATAGAACATAAGGGTCAAATGCAGTTTTTGGCATATATCTCAAAAACTAAATCTTTTAGAGCAAATGTGTCAGCCCTGAATTTATCAGACGAATTGAACAACCCATTGTTGGGTTGCTGCCACCAAATTGGTAGTTTTAACAAAATTTTGCAGTTTTTTGTTATTATTTTGAATATTATTATAGATATGTATAAACTGTAAGCAGCAATAATGTTCAGCAAAGTAAGATCTACAAAAAAGTTAATATGACAAAAATTGTCAATTAACCCCTTAAGGAGTTATTGCCCTTTAAAGACAATTTTACACAATTTGTTCATCAAATTTGCTAACATTTAAAAATCTTCTCCTCTGAAATACAGGTAAGCAATTCAGGCTCTTGAGAGCCTCTTGTGTTTATTGCCATGTTAAGGAATTTGGAAAAACATTGCACTTTGATTAAAAATTATTTCACCATGGTACAATCAATGACCAAATATAAAGTTGGGGGCGGATACAGGATTTTTGAAAAGGGGGCATAGTTCCAGAAAATGGAAAATTTAATGAAAAAAATGAACGATTTTATGCTAAAAAATCATATAAAGCATTAGAATCATGAGATTTTGAATTTTTGGAGCGATCAAAGATGTGTGGTACTGTGTCCCCTGGATTTGCCACTACATAGTGTTTTAAAATCCAAGAACAAGAAAGAACACTGTGGAGTCACAAGAAAAATAAATTGTGGTCAAGTCTCTGTATACAAATATAGAAGGCAAATAAGGCCATTTTAGCACCCTGTCCAGTATTCAAGTGAAAAGTTGACCAAAGATTTAATATCAACATATATATTAACAAATTGTTTTCAGGGAACCAGAAATCTAACAGAGGATGGAGTCCTCTACATCTGGCAGTATACTTTGGTCATACAGCTGTGGCAAAACTTCTTTTGGAGGTAAGTTCCTCAGTCCCGACTCTCATTAGCCTTTCAATGCTAAGTTTGTGAGTTTGAACCATGTGTGTGGCAGGTGCGTTCAATCTAAATTGACTAAGATTGCCAGATATCCTGCAAGAGCAATGCGGTTCTCTTTGGGCACTCCGGCTTCCTCCACCAATTAATACTAGCCGACACAAAATAGTCAAAAGTGCTAAAAGTGGTGTTTAGCACCAAACATTAATCAATCAATCAATTAGGACACTGGAAGTCAGGGCCAGTAAGAACATTTTAATTACAGGAGATGTGATAAATTTTAATGAGAAAGCAACCCAACAACAAAAAAACTGCAGCAACTTACAGTGATAGTGAATAGGCTTTACAATGGAATAAATGGATGGATACTCAACATTCTCAATGTCCTTGGCAATTATTAGATGCATTTTCATAGAAAAAGTTTCTTGATATTGTATGAAAGTCAGGGGTACTACTTATACAAGTAATTTTTATTTACTTGAAGAAGTAAATAATAATATACCTATATAAGTAAATTATAATGTTTGAATAATCTCCCCTTAATTTTCTCAAAAGTTTACTTGTATCAGTAATTTTTTTTTTAACAATCCCGAAAAATTCTCAAGTTTTGAGATGTAAAAACATGCCTTTAAAAATTTTCTCAGGTTAGCTCATAATTTGTATGCCCCCGCCGTAGCGGAAGGGGCATTAAGTTTTACCCTTGTCTGTCTGTACGTCCGTCCGTCCGTATGTCCCAAAATTGGTGTCCGTTATCTAAATTTAGTTTGCCTCAACCAAATGTTATGAAACTCATACACAATGCTTATTAACACAAAACACAGGTCGAGTTTGAATTTGGTTGGCGTCACTTTTATCGTTCTAGAGTTATGCCCCTTTACAAATGGAAAAATTGTTGAATTTTTCGTTTCCGTTCTCTAACTTTAATTTGCCTCAACCAAATGTTTGAAACTTATACACAATGCTTATTACCACAAAACACAGATCAAGTTTGAATTTTGGTGGCGTCACTTTAACCGTTCTAGAGTTATGCCCTTTACAAATGGAAAAATTGCTGAATTTTTCATTTCCCTTCTCTAACTTCAGTTTGCCTCAACCAAATGTTATGAAACTTATGCACAATGCTTATTAACACAAAACACAGATCAAGTTTGAATTTTGGTGGCGTCACTTTTACCGTTCTAGAGTTATGCCCTTTACAAATGGAAAAATTGCTGAATTTTTCGTTTCCATTTTCTAACTTCAGTTTGCCTAAAAAAAATGTTATGAAACTTATACGCAATACTTATTACCACAAAACTCAGATCAAGTACAAATTTGGGTAGCTTCACCTTTACAGTTCTTGAGTTATGTCCCTTTATAACGTTATATGCAAGCGGGGGCATCATCTGTGTCCATAGGACACATTCTCCATTTATTGATTAGAATTCAATGTTTCATCTCATTAATTCAACAAAGAAACTAATTGCGCAATGTCCTAAGTATTTGCGCAAGGCCTTCAAAAATTGCCTATTGGGGGCTTGTAAATGAGCAGTGTTCTGAAGATAACAGACAAATGAGATTTTCATTGTCCATGAAATTACACTTAAATGATTAGTAAAGACATCTGCAAAGGACAGACAATTAAAAATTCTATTAGAGCAAAGAAGTCTTAAGAAATTCAAGAAAAGAAGATAGGATAACATTTTTACTTGTATAAGTAAAAAAATCTGAATGTCTAAGGGACATAACTAAACCAAAAAATAATTTACCTATACAAGTAAATAAAATACACTTGTATAATTATAAGTATCCTACAAATTTACTTATATAAGTATATTAATATTTACTTTTACAAGTAAATAAAAATTACTTGTACAAGAAGAACCCCTGACTGCATGTACGTCAATCAGACAGCAACCCAAACACTAAAAAAAAAAGTGTGTTGAGAGCAAAGCATGTTATTCAACAGTTATAAATAGGCATATATACAAATGATACAATATGTCAAGGTCTAAATTGCTGATTCAGAGTCTAGAAAAAGTAGAAAATGTTTAACAGCTAGATTCTATGCCATCAGTACCAAATGCCCCAAAAATGAGAAATGAATACATTAGGATAAGTGGAACTAAAGAAAGGTAGTCATATCACAATGTGGTTCATTATTTGGAGAATTATTTTTGTTTTTTTATTAAACTTCCTATACATCCTCTAAACTAAAAATTTAAAGAGAAAAATGTTTTTAAGTACGTTGGGGGAAAACTCGATATATGAAATGATTAAATGATTAATGGCTGCTTAATTGCCAGTGGCAAATATGACATGCATATATGTATATAATGCGTTATCTGTAAACCCTGCGTATATTTAAGTACAATCGGAATCATATTTTTAGTGTGCTAGCCTCACAAGGTAAAAGAGGGGCCTTAGTGGCCATGGGACTTGACTAGGATTTTTAGTTTTCCTGTGGAAGCCAATAATGCTGAAAGTGGTGTTTAAACACCAACAATCATTTACATGATTTAATTAATTAAAAGTCTGCTGAAAGGGTACCAGACCAATTTCAAAATCTTTAAGTTTGACCCAGATCAATATCAAAACAACAACCTCTTACGAGGCTAGCAGATTATCAAAAGACCATTGAGGTGACTTAAGAATTGATTAAATATAGGAACAACATTGCTTGATAATTTGTATTTGGACCCTTTTTATAAAAAGAGCTTACATATTATTAAATTAAATAGTGTGTAAATTAAATATAAGGCTTTTGACATTTCAATCATATTTCATTTCAGCATGATGCAGATGTAAATATTGTGAACAGTGTTGGAGATACACCCCTTCATAGAGCAGCTTATACAGGCAGACATGTAAATATTGCGAAACTATTAGTTTCATTCAATATTCACACCATCTTGAAAATATTGCATAACTAATATCGGTTCTGATTGGTTACCTCACCATGTGGCTAAGGTTTTATTGGCTAAAATGAGATAGAACTGAAAACATGTCATGGAGAAAATAACAGTATGGGTATTTAAGATCTGATCAACAATTATTGCTAAATGTTGACCAAATTTATGATACTGCAAAGCACTAGAAAGTTTAAACTTGTATCACGTCCTTTATAACAATTAGTATTGATTAAGTCAGGTAGCATTAATTAGAATAAAAATTGTTATGTCGACAGTTGTTTACAGCAGAAAAAACTTTTTGATTGCTTAACTTCAAATCCTTTTCTGAGATTGCAATCATGTGTGTTAAACTTAAAAAAAATTGAATTAAAAAAAATTACCAACCAGCAGACAGTTCCTGTATTTGGTTTGAAGTGGCTTCTTTTCTACCTGTTAATCCTTGATATTTTAACAAAACCTTTATGAATATTTAAGGTATCATAATTTTTTTCTTGTTCTTGCATATATTGATCTTATTTGTATTTGTAGTGCTTTATGATTAATACTACTATGAAATCACTTTTTTTTTGGCATGCATGCCAAGCTTTGTGGTTTGTGAAAAACATGGTTGGTTTGTTGGGTTTCAAATTAATTGTTTTAAGATCAACATATTTGCACTCACTGGAAAAAATCTATTTCCTGGAGTACTTAGATTCATGGTTGAGGAAACATGAACTCAACAAAAATAGGCACCCAACAAAAAAAGCTCTTTTACAGTAATAAGTTTGAAATCAAGCTAGTTTTTTGGTTTTAAATTACATCCTTAAAGGAATTTCCTGTTGAATTTTTAATGTTTAAAAAATTGAAATTGTACACTCAATTTATTTGTCATGCCTTCAGGTTTTGAACTACCAGTAATTAATAAAGTTGAAATGAAAAACAGTTGTCATGATGTATTTTTGATGGAACTGCAGCCCATAGAATAAGACAGATTTCATGAAAATTGTATATTATATCCACAACTTATATCTTGCTAGCAATGTTATTTGTATAATACATGTACATAATATAAAAGCCTCTCAATATACTGGTAATTGATAAAGTATATGATTTTAACAGGAAGCAGTAACGTTACTGGTACAACATAAGGCTGATATACATGTTATCAATGCTGAAGGCTTCTCTCCAAAAGATGTGGCCAGGAACAAAGATATTAATCAACTTTTAGAAGGTACATTGTATGATGTCATTTAAGTCATATATTGGACAGTTCTTAAAAGTCTTTGTACCCCATTTTTGAAACGATTTTTTACATTGATTTATTTAGGACACAATCATGATTTATGATTTGCTATTATTCTGTCTAAAGTTATATTCGTACCAGAAACAAAGTTCTTAGCTCAGAACAAGGGATTTGTAAATTCTTGCTCGACTTCTTCCACTTACAATTTTCTTAATTTTATGGTTTTTAGCTCATTCTGTTAAAAGATTAGTATCAGCTGCTGATATCTATTGGCATCCTTCTTGGTTGGTTATGCATTAATTTTTTATGCCCCACCTAGGGGGCATTATGTTTTTCAGTCTGTGCGTTCGTCTGTCTGTCCTGCTTCAGGTTAAAGTTTTTGGTCAAGGTAGTTTTTGATGAAGTTGAAGTCCAATCAAGTTGAAACTTAGTACACATGTTCCCTATGATATGATCTTTCTAATTTTAATGTCAAATAAGAGTTGACCCCAATTTCACGTTCCACTGAACATAGAAAACGATTGTGTGTGTGGGGCATCCTTGTGCTATGGACACATTCTTGTTTTAAATTATTTTTATATTCATATCTCCAAATGATTAGCCAGCCTGTATAAATTTGTTGAAGTCATCTTCCAAAATTTTCTGACAATTTTGCCAATCTACCAAGTTGGCCACAAGACCCTTTGAAACAGACATTTTTGACATTAAATAAAATGCATTTTCACTTAATTCAAGATGACATCATTTAAAGCTATTGTTTCTATTGAACTACAATAACAAAATATGACTATATACAGCATACTATACTAATATATAATTGATTGATTTTTACAGCTGCAGAAAATCATGAGAATCTACAAACTCACAAAGAATTTTTGTCATCTGTTAGGGATGGCAACCTGGAAAATATACAAGGCATGGTATGTTTAAATGTGCCTTCATATAAAAATTGTTAAATATAAGTATTGCGATAAGGATACTATGTTTGTATGACTGCCAATGAAACAACTATCCACCAGAGACCAAAGATTTAAATGAGGTGGAAATAAGCAAATATACCGTAAGGCCTTTAACGTTACAAGCAAAACCCATAGCAAATATACCGTAAGGCCTTTAACCTTACAAGCAAAACCTATAGCAAATATACCGTAAGGCCTTTAACCTTACAAGCAAAACCCATAGCAAATATACCGTAAGGCCTTTAACCTTACAAGCAAAACCCATAGCAAATATACCGTAAGGCCTTTAACCTTACAAGCAAAACCCATAGCAAATATACCATAAGGCCTTTAACGTTACAAGCAAAACCCATAGCAAATATACCATAAGGCCTTTAACGTTACAAGCAAAACCCATAGCAAATATACCGTAAGGCCTTTAATGTTACAAGCAAAACCCATAGCTAATATACCGTAAGGCCTTTAATGTTACAAGCAAAACCCATAGCAAATATACCGTAAGGCCTTTAACCTTACAAGCAAAACCCATAGCTAATATACCGTAAGGCCTTTAATGTTACAAGCAAAACCCATAGCTAATATACTGTAAGGCCTTTAATGTTACAAGCAAAACCCATAGCAAATATACCGTAAGGCCTTAAGGTCTTTAACGTTACAAGCAAAACCCATAGCAAATATACCGTAAGGCCTTTAACGTTACAAGCAAAACCCATAGCTAATATACCGTAAGGCCTTTAACGTTACAAGCAAAACCCATAGCAAATATACCGTAAGGCCTTTAACTTTACAAGCAAAACCCATAGCAAATATACCGTAAGGCCTTTAACGTTACAAGCAAAACCCATAGCTAATATACCGTAAGGCCTTTAACGTTACAAGCAAAACCCATAGCAAATATACCGTAAGGCCTTGAAGTTACAAGCAAAACCCATAGCAATATACCGTAAGGCCTTTAACGTTACAAGCAAAACCCATAGCTAATATACCGTAAGGCCTTTAATGTTACAAGCAAAACCCATAGCAAATATACCGTAAGGCCTTTAACCTTACAAGCAAAACCCATAGCAAATATACCGTAAGGCCTTTAACCTTACAAGCAAAACCTATACAGTTGAACGGCAAACGCCTGAATCTGACAGATAGAGGTCAATTTGTCGACAAAAAAAGTACCCGTATGTAAAATGTTTACGCCCACAGACAGCGCCACCTATAATTTTTTCTATGGCGTCTTTGAGAACGATGTTCCGTTCTGTAGTAAATTAAAACATTAAATTAACTAAAACATAGAAAAGTAAGTGTATAAAACTAATTAAAAGATATATTTGCACATGACTGGTTATGCATGATACGCTGGCAATGTGCGCAATGTCCTTTAATCCAAGATTCAAAATTAGTTTGTTTCCTATGTCAAAATGGCGGATTCCAATGTTTACATTTTTCCATCGATTTGAGAGCTGACACAAATTTGTATCCAATCATTAATTTGCATATTATGTACTGTGTAGGGTAGCTTATCCAATGGGATTTACTGTTATAAAGTGGCTATACGTTACCAGCCATCGTTACAACAGTGCCATGTGTTTTGTGTGTATAGCTCAGGAATGATGTGTATTCAATATTTACGGTAAATAATCAATGTAATGTTCATTATATTTCCATGCATACACAAGTCATAACAGCAAATGCATTTTTTATAGAACTTACTAGGTAAACAGACATGTTTAACTGTCTGCTTTAGCAAAAATTCGTGTAAATAAACCCGATGGGTCGTTTTGAATATTCAAGCACAGCAGACGAACACGTGGTAGATTATTGATGTTTGTTTACCTAAATTGCACGCTGTTGTTACTAAATACTTAGAAATAACCATTATCGTGTTATTATTGTTTAACAGCAGATAAAATTAATTTTACAATTGCATTTAACTACTTTCAAGAGTTATATAATACACCTTGCCTAAGAAATAGGTCTAGCTAGGTCCATGGACCTCCTTTACTAGGTCCTTAAAAAAAGAGGCTGTAATAATGTACATGATGTAAATTACCATATTTACATTCCAGCATTTTTTTGCATTTGATATATTTCATATATATGTACATGTATGTACATAGAGAACAAAAGAGTAAATGAACATACATGGGTTTAATTCCCACCCTAGGTATTAATTTTAATACTCATTAGAGGTTGGAGCAAATAGGGCAGATTGCAATCGACCATAATGTAGTGTCTAAAAATGCTGATTGATGTGGCCAAGTCCTCAACAACCTTTTTTCTAAGTATACAGCAGCTCCTTTAAGGATTAGTAAGGGAACACTTTACATATAGTCCAGTGGCTAAGTCCTGTCTTTTTTGTCTCTATTATTTCCTTATTTATATTATTATATTTCTTATATTCTCTTGTACATGTAGTAAGCTAAAAGCTATCATTACTCTTTTTCCTCATCTGCCTGATAACAATGAAATGTATTCATTGTTGATGTCTGTAAAGTGACTTATAATTTAACTGCTAACGGACATTTGGACTCTGGTGGATAGTTTCTATACTGTTATCTCATTGGCAATCATACCACATCTCTTTATTTTAGTACAGGTTAAGTATTTAAAGTAAGTGACTAACAAACATTAAATCATTTGAAAGAAAAATTCTGCAATGATTTCAGTTAACATATATCAACAATAAGATTTGGTTGTATAAATTGTGTCATTATGTTTATAATGACCACTGTAATTGTGAACTGCCATGACTGCCTTGTACAAAATATATTTGAATAAGTTCCCTAATGAATAGTATATAGATGTTTAAAAAAACAAATGTATGTACTAGTTCCAGATCTATCAATTCAAAAATAATTGATGATTTTTTTAATTAATTGAATAATAACAACTTATTGCAATAATCATGATAATCATGATATTAAAATACAAACTAGCATTCTTATATGTGATACATATATAACTTAATGCAGCTTATTCTGAAATTGTAAGGTATGTCATAAAAAAGAGATTTTTTGTAAAAGTTACCAAAATTGTCTGTATTTCAACCACATTTAGGCCTAGGAACCTTAAATTTTTAAGTGTAGAGGTTGACAAGTCATGACTGTAAATTCAGATATTATCATGAGGTTTTTATTGAAGTAAATAATGCGATTAAATTGATTATCTCAATAAAAAGAACTCTCATTCTGATTTGATACTATGAGATTTTTTCTGATATCAGAAAAATAAATATCTCATTGTTGTCCATTCTTCAAAAAATTTCTGAACATACTGTACATGTATTTAAGTCAGCTTTGTTTTTGTCTGAGACTACTATAACATGGGAAGTGACCAATCTCTATGTTAATTGTTATAGTAGTCTCAGGTTTTTGTTTTGTAGTTCAATTGACTATGCATTTTAGAGCAGTTAAATATGAATTTGGATTAAATTTGAAGTTGATTCAGTATATTTTATGACATAATAACACTCTTTTATTTAAACAAAGCATTTTCAGACTTTATTTACAGACCAGCTTAGCTAATCATTCATTATTCAATCAATAATTTAATTAAAAGACTCAACAGTTGTTTGTAGGACTTATGAATTCAAATATAAGGGAAAAAAATCAAAACTTGAAGTAATACATGCAATAGGAATTATGAGAACTGCATGATATCAGATTCAATACAGCTTTTTTTTCAGTTTTCTTTGTGTTGATTATAATGTTTTAAATCCCTTTCTGGCTTTTTGGATGTTCAGATTTTTTCTCTTGATTAAGAGCGAGCAACGGAACTTGTACATCTTATATAGTTTCTTATCTAGGGGTGGATCAAGCAAATTTTCAAAGAGGAGGGGGGCATGTATTGTCTACATTTTCTTTTTTTCCATATTGTAATTTAATGTAATGCAAAGTTAAATTCTATTGTAACACAAGTTCTGCTGACAAATGGCTGATAAACCCCTCTTGTATGTAATTATTTGGCATGAAATGAAATATGTTTTTTCTGTATATGGAAATTAGGAATAATCCACCCTCTCTTTATAAAAGACCTGGATCTGCTTAAAAGTTCTTGCTTTTCTCAGAATTTTCCATTGTTACATCAGGAATAAAGGCTACCAATAATCATGCTTGACAATCATTGAGGTCACACATAAAGAACCCATCTCTTTGCAGATCATAGTAGAAAAACAAAGATACAATGTAGTTGGTAACATAAATGTATTTAAAAATATCAAGCGAAACATTCCCATACAGAATCTCTGTCAATAAGTTATTTTTCCACTCTTAACAGTGAAATCTTAAATATGTAAATTGATCGGCAAGCCTCACATCTTGAAAAATAAAATGTCTGTAGGAAAGAACTATTGTTTCACAATTGATGCTGTGTTAGAATTTATAATATCACTCTTTTTTCTCCATATGATTAGCATAAAAAGTGACAAGTTCTTCAGTCTAAATAACTTTGTTAAATCTCATTTCTGATGGAACATTTTCAGTGCACCAGATTAACAACTTTCTATGTTAGATACTTATTTAAATATAAAAATTCAAGTCTAATTTTAGAGTGAAATTTTAATATATTTAAACAAACTGTTCTAAACAACCAACATGTACAAACACTGAGTTTATTTTCATATCCTTTCTTAGAATATTGATACAAAGAAAGTAAAACAAAGACTTGTATCATTCCATCTACCAAAAGGGTGTTTGAGAATATACAAATAAGTCCAAGTTTCAGAGAAAAGTCAGTTATCTATAATTTTCTTTTTTGGAAGTTTTCAAAAACCTGTTTTAGGGTACTTGAAAAAATGCCATATTCAAACATTCCATGACTATTTTAATGTTACAAGAGTAGAGGAACATAAAATATTGAATGGTTATTCAAGAAAGTGTCAAAATATAACTACAATCATTAATTTTACTCGAATTTACTGTTGTGAACTTGCAGTTTCCTACGACGCGTGTACGGAGTTATCTCCCGTTGATCTCCGCTTCGCCACGAATAAGCTGACACAATTGCGTATCCGGGGAATTTATGATCTATAATTAATATATAAGATGCAGAAAATGGTTTTACTTCATATTTTATACCCCTCCATACGTTACCAAACCCATTTAAGAAATGATTTGGGATTTTCCGTAGACCTACGCAAATTTTCCAAAAAAAATTTCAACTTCCATCGTTGTTTTAGAGTACTTTTATAACACCTTTCATAAATAAGTATACATAATAATGAAGCTTATTCACTCAAGATTTGGACCCTACAAGTTTTATTTATGTACGAGTTACAATTAGACGATACGAGGTAAAAAACCAAGAGGTGTACACGTTCACAAGAAAACGGTAAACTCTGACCTTTTATCACGTGACCAATGTCTTGAACTTAGACGCCATTAAAGCGTTTGCCGTTCAACTGTATAGCAAATATACCGTAAGGCCTTTAACCTTACAAGCAAAACCCATAGCAAATATACCGTAAGGCCTTTAACCTTACAAGCAAAACCCATAGCAAATATACCGTAAGGCCTTTAACCTTACAAGCAAAACCCATAGCAAATATACCGTAAGGCCTTTAACCTTACAAGCAAAACCCATAGCAAATATACCGTAAGGCCTTTAACCTTACAAGCAAAACCCATAGCAAATATACCGTAAGGCCTTAAACCTTACAAGCAAAACCCATAGCAAATATACCGTAAGGCCTTTAACGTTACAAGCAAAACCCATAGCAAATATACCGTAAGGCCTTTAACGTTACAAGCAAAACCCATAGCAAATAATCATCTTTAAAAGGCCCAGATGTGACAAAACCTGAAACAGTTTTAATGCTTTGATGCATTGACATTGTATTTTCAGTTAAAGACATTTATACTTATTATTTTAACAGCCATAAAAAAGTATAATTTTGGTATAGCTTAAACAAGTTCTCTTCACAACAACTTGTCTAATATGTTTAGTTAAACTTTTTATGTTTTATGTACTTAGTATGATATAAAAATTCCATCTTGTTCTATTTAATTTTGAAAATTATTATGGTTTGTTTTTTCAGTTAAAGACATCATTTATGTAAATTTTTACGGACAACAGAAAGTCTTATTTTGCTACAGCTTAAACAAGTTTCCTACATAGCAGTCTTTTAAAATATCAGGTTACCTTTGTATGTATTTTTTAACTCTCACATTTTTAAGCTTAAAAGCAAGAAGCCTCCAGATGTAAACAAAACAGATGAGTTTGGTAACACAGCTTTACACATAGCTGCACAATCCAATCAGAAAGAAGTGGCTGTTCTGTTGTTACAGAGTGGGGTTAATGTAACAGCAAAGAATGCCAAAGGTATTGTATGGTATTTTAATTTTGCCAAATATTTGTCTGAAGTTAAAATCAGTAGCAATGCCATTATTATTAGTTAAAATGTCAAGTAATGGTTACATACCTTCCAACTTTTCGAAATCTTCATGGGGGATTTTAAGCACAAGAGGACCTAATGCATACCTATACATGTCATTAGTGTACTTAATTAAAACATTTTTTTGGTTTTGAATAAGTATTTAAATGTATGTTTTACTTTTCTGAATTCCTCTTTAACAGGTAATTTATAAAAAATTGTTCTTGACCTATAGGTTTTTCTCTTTTTTCTTTCTGGATTTTTTTAATCTTGTAAAATTAATACTTAAATAACCTGAATATACCAACTTAATGATAATTTATGCAGTCATGATAATCCTTTTTTGTCCATTTCTGTATTTTATTAATTGTCATGGCTCCAAGTTATATTCAAAAAGGATGCTGACATGATAAATGTTCAAGGTATTTTACATAAGATACATTAGAATTGTCTAGTAAAATATTCTTTAGTACCAAGATTCCTGAACAGTCTAGTGGAGCTTTTATGGAAGGTTCTGATTTTTAAAAAGATTTCTATCGATCTTGATTATAGTTATTATTTGTAGCCCAGACAGCTATAGATTTTGCATACAACACACCAATGAAACAATTACTATCTGTTACACCAGTGAAAAATATACCCAAACTTCCTCATCACTGGGAAGGCATCTTACTTAAGGTTAGTAATCATAACAAATACCTGGAACACCTAGATATCTGTAACCTCATAATTTAATGAGTGTATTTAAGATAAGTGTTAAATAAAGGCAGCAGTAGTATACCACTGTTCAATAGTCATAACTCTATTAAGAGAAAACAAATCGGGGTCATAAACCAAAACCAAGGGAAACACATCAACTATAAAAGGAAAACAACGGAACAACAGAAAAACAACTGCAACAAAAACAAACGCCAACATAACCCAGAATTAAATGAGTGCATTTGAGATAACTATTAACTCAGAATTTAATGAGTGCATTTGAGATAAGTGTAAACTTAGAATTTAATAAGTGCATTTGATATAACTGTTAACTCAGAATTTAATTAATGCATTTGAGATAAGTGTTAACTCAGAATTTTAATGAGTGCATTTGAGATAAGTGTTAACTCAGAATTTAATGAGTGCATTTGAGAAAACTGTAAACTCAAAATTTAATGAGTACAAGAGAAAACTGTTTACTCAAAATTAAATGAGTGCATTTGAGATAACTGTTAACTCAGAATTAAATGAGTGCATTTGAGATAGCTGTTATGGCAATATATGGCAGTTGTTATCAAATGGTTTGTTTCTATGTATGTTGGCGTTTGTTTTTGTTGCAGTTCAGTGTTTCTGTTGTTCCGTTGTTTTCCTTTAATAGTTGATGTGTTTCCCTCGGTTTTGGTTTGTGACCCAAATTTGTTTTCGCTTAATCAATTTATGACTATTGAACAGCGGTATACTATTGTTGCCTTTATTTACCTCAGAGTTAAATGAGTGCATTTGAGATAAGTGTTAACTCAGAATTTGATGAGTGCATTTGAGATAATTATTAACTCAGAATTTAATGAGTGCATTTGTTAACACAAAACTTCAACTGGAATATGCTGACTGCTGTTTACTTAATATCCATCAACAGTAATTTAAGACTATTATTTCCATTGCATATGCATGCAAGTTTTAACTAGTGTGAATGCATTCTAACACATTTTCACTTTGATAAAATCTTAAAATTTATGGATTGCATTTGATTGCATTTGAAATTTTTGTTGCTTACATTCACATAATTCATTTGGACTTGGATGAATATTACTGTGTCATTGGCAATCAAACCACATCTCTTTTTTTCGTAATGTTTAATTTTCGTAACATGTTTTTTTTTCAACAGAAATCTAGATTCCTTGGCTTCCAGGCATTATGGGTAGTTTTGGAGAGAGGTGTACTTTCATATTTCAAGAATAGGTATATAATTTATATTCATCATCTTTAATAATTACAACTAGATAATCTAGTTTTAGTAAAATATACCGAAGATTCTTTATTATTTGGGGAGTTTCTAATTTTAGTTGAAATTGGTGAACCACAAACGGCTGGTACTGTGGTTTCATTATTATTTGTTGGATACCAATTTTTGTTAATTTTGCTGGTAAAGTTGAACCATGAATTGAAATGTTCAAAGAAGTACAAACTTTCTATTGACATATACAGGTATGCAAATTTTTGCACAACCAGGATATCATATATCCTCAAGATTTTCCCTAAATTCACAAAAACAGGAATCAATGAAAATAAATAAGTCCACAGTGTACAGACTTTGTCAAAACTATGAAATCAAATATCCATGAAAATCCAACTTTACCCAATCAAGTGATAATTGATATCAACAAAACTGGAATAAATGAAAATAAATAAGTCCACATTGTACAGACTTTGTCAAAACTATGAAATCAAATATCCATGAAAATCCAGCTTTACTCAATCAAGTGATAATTAATATCCACAAAACAGGAATCAATGAAAATAAATAAGTCCACAGTGTACAGACTTTGTCAAAACTATGAAATCAAATATCCATGAAAATCCAACTTTACTTAATCAAGTGATAATTAATATCCACAAAACTTAACGAATATACAGTACACTGCATTAGGTTTTACCTTAAGATAGTCTTCTGTAGCCTCATTAACTGACTTTCCTTAAGTGTTGGTGGTTTAGTGGTGTCATTCCAAGCTTGATGAAGTGAATGACTGTAGAATTGTTACATATAACTGCTAATTAGCTGCTAAATGTGCAACATGGAGGAGTAAGATCAAAGACTGATCAGTTCAATGTAAGATACTTTTTCCATAAACACAGATTTGACCCAATCTTTTCTAGGCTTTTGCCCTGTAAATTATACAAATAAATGTGTGGTATGATTGCCAATAAGATAACTAGCCACCAGAGACCAAATAAAGTTGATGTAGGCAATTATAGGTCAAACTTTGACAATCATCAAAACCCATACTGTATATAGTCAACTATAAAAGTTGTCATGTTTAAAATCTGACGTACTACAGATTCATTATAATTCATGGGATATCAATTTTCATGGATTTCAAGGTTACAGGTGAAACACGAATTTTACTGTTTAAAGAAGTACTAATTTTCTGCAGACTTCTGAAGCCCGCCCCCAGGTGCAGGATTTTCTTGCTGTGTTGAAGACTTATTGGTGGCCTTTGGCTGTTTTCTGCTCTTTGGTCGGGTTGTTGTCTCTTTGACACATTCCCCATTTCCATTCTCAATTTTGTTTTGTAAAACCATGAAATCAAATATCCATGAAAAAAACATTTTTTCCTAAGACCACAAAAATTGATACCAAGAAAAATAGATGAATCCACAGAATTATGTCAACCAAGTACAAATAAGGGTATGTTTGTATCACAGAATCATGTCAGCCAAGTACAAATAAGGGTATGTTTGTATCACAGAATTATGTCAACCAAGTACAAATAAGGGTATGTTTGTATCACAGAATCATGTCAGCCAAGTACAAATAAGGGTATGTTTGTATCACAGAATTATGTCAACCAAGTACAAATAAGGGTATGTTTGTATCACAGAATCATGTCAGCCAAGTACAAATAAGGGTATGTTTGTATCACAGAATTATGTCAACCAAGTACAAATAAGGGTATGTTTGTATCACAGAATCATGTCAGCCAAGTACAAATAAGGGTATGTTTGTATCACAGAATTATGTCAACCAAGTACAAATAAGGGTATGTTTGTATCACAGAATCATGTCAGCCAAGTACAAATAAGGGTATGTTTGTATCACAGAATCATGTCAGCCAAGTACAAATAAGGGTATGTTTGTATCACAGAATCATGTCAGCCAAGTACAAATAAGAGTATGTTTGTATCACATAAACATTAATGATTAGGAATGTGGATCTTATAAATAAAATGTTATCATCAGGTATTTTTAAGTTAATCTCGGTCCCAATATCTGGGTTCAGTGAATGATTTTCATTTGGAAAATGCTGGACTCATTTTCAGACTAGTTAATACTACACTTAAATAAGTTTTTCAACCCCTAGGCATAGATGGCCTTATTCAGATTTGAAAGCACTTTTTGGAACTTTTATTTATCAGTGCTCTTCAACTTCATGTTTGAGCTTTCCAACCATTTTGATGTAAGCGCCGTTGACAAATCTTATGTAGACTAACACCTGCGGCCCTTTTCACAAAAGATCTTAAGAGTAAAAACACTCCTAAGTCATACACATTTCAGTATAACTTACGATCAATTTTAATCGTAAGATTTTTGGTGAAAAGAGTGGCTGTATCTTTGATGATATTTTCCTATTATGTTTTCAGTCAAGAATGTTAGAAAATTTTAATAGTAGTTTGTGTATTTGTGTATTTGTAGGGGAGAAAATGTTGATACTAATTTGTGTATTTTTAGGGGAGATGCCAGTAGTGGAGTAAAGAGAAAAGGAATGAAGTATTTAGATAATGCTACTGTACTGGTATGTTTATTGCGGTTCAAAGAATTGTAATGGACAGCAGAATCTCAAAATTATGTATTTATTGTTTTCATAACCAGTGAAAACTGGATATCGCTTGATGTCAACTTGAGTTATTTAATTTCAAAATAATAATAAACGAGCCTGTGACTTTTCATCATAGACAAAATAGCCTTAAAACTTTGAATAAGAAAGTACTTAAAACAAATTTGGACCCCTGTCTGAAGTAGATGACAATCACTGAATATTCATGAAGTCATGGGGTGAACTTGATTACCATCTTAAATTTATAACATTTTGACTCTTCCTAGCAGCATCTACTTTTAAAATAACTGCTGAAACAGACTACTTTCAAATTTATGCATTTTCCCATACATTTCTGGTATCACAATCGGTGTATGTTGTTACATCATGATCATGGTAGGAGTCAATTGTTCAATGACATCATTTATGCCAATTGACCTTGGGTCAACAACTCATTTAAAAAAAAAAACTCAAAATTTGTCAACAACAAAAAAATTGTGACCTCTACTACAATCGTTTAAATTGTATATTGGAAATCTTCCTGAACATGCATGAAATGTTTGCTACTGGACAGTTAAGCAAACATCAATCAATGTATATTGGAAAACTTCTGTTAATAATAGATGAAAAGAATAAAAAGAATTACCAAACATATCAGACAGTACAACAGGCCACACTAACAACCAACATCCAAAGTTAAAAAAATAACAAAATAATTTTGAACTATACTTCAGACTAGTTTACAGAATTCGGTCACATAAAAAGATATGAAAATTTAAGTAAGTTAAAAGCCATTGATTGAAAAATCATACATTAAATATTTCTATATTTTTCACTTTCTTGTATTCCTTTGATTGTATATACACCCAGTGCAGAAAAGCACATGTTCAGTGTATTTCCTCTGGTGACTGGTCCAAAAGTTTTCTGTTACTTAAATTTTTAGTTGATCTTTCATTTTAGGGAAGAGAATCTGAACCAAGTGAGTTTGTTATCCATTATTCGGATGGTACCAGACATACGTTTAGTTTTCCTCCTAAAGAACTTGATCTAGTTGTTAAACAGGTAAGTCAGGCATGAGAATCAGGTTACCAGATCAGTAAGTAAGCTTATCATATGTTATACAATCTGTTGAACTGCTAATACCTCTACAGATTCATAGGAAATAGCAAAACAGCTTTACAAAGAAAACTTGATAAACTTTGTTATTTCCTGCATAACATATTCATAGGATCTAGTCTTCACATATTATCTTCTTCAAATTTATATTTTTACCTAACACATTTGTTGTGCCTATTTGTCTTCTTTAAAACTTTTGTCTGCACTAGTTTTGATTCTCCATGGTGAGAACATGAACCAGTGTTATCATTAAAGGTCAAGGACACTGCAAATGTAATAGAGAAAGAATATTCATTATGGAGTTTGGCATTGTGCTCTGTGAATGGAAGAATGTAGCCCCATACTCTGGGTGTATGCTCCTATATTATTGTCAGTTTTGGAGCTTGCACTCATGAGATAGCATTCAACAATTTGTTTCTTGTCTTTTTTGTTTTGAGCATCACATTTTATTAATGTCTTTTTCTTGGGTTCAAACTTCATTATATTTGGCAGGATTATTTTCCATTAGAATAGGATGTATCTTATTAAATATAAAATTTTCTGAAAGCATTGTTGAAAACAGCCATCAAATTCATATATATGTTATTTGGAGCCAAAGTTTATGTTTGCTAAACAGTTTTAAATTCTAAGGGAACATGTCAAATTCAGTATTTACTATATTATATATTGCACACATCTAGTCAGTAATTATATTTGATAATAATTGTATAGGAACAAACGAAATTTATGTATTACTGAAAAATTATTACACCAGGGTTTTCGATATCACAAACTAGTCAAAACATTTACTAAATTTTATCATCGGTATAAGGACATCATTCGTAAATATAGCTCAACATGCAGACTTCTTATACGTTCAGGTATTTCACATCCAATTTTTTATGGAAATATTCTTTATAAAGCACAAAAATGTCAGTATTCACCTCTGAAACTAACAAAACCTTTAAATAGACTTATTAAGAAGGGATATAGTTACGATACTGTTGTCAGGTCATTAAAGATTGCATATTTTGGCGTTAATATTGATTCACTTATAGGGTCTTTGCATCGGCACTAAACACATTTATTTAAAAACCAGTTGTTGGCATGACACGGGTTATGTTCTTCTCATATATGTAATGATGGTATGATACTAAACCCCTAACGGGAAGGATTGTGCCTGATATTCATATGATGAAGACATAATCTTTCAATCAGTTTAATTGAAGTCTGGAGCTGGCATGTCAGTTAACTGCTAGTAGTCTGTTGTTATTTATGTATTATTGTCATTTTGTTTATTTTCTTTGGTTACATCTTCTGACATCAGACTCGGACTTCTCTTGAACTGAATTTTAATGTGCGTATTGTTATGCGTTTACTTTTCTACATTGGCTAGAGGTATAGGGGGAGGGTTGAGATCTCATAAACATGTTTAACCCCGCCGCATTTTTGCGCCTGTCCCAAGTCAGGAGCCTCTAGCCTTTGTTAGTCTTGTATTATTTTTAATTTTAGTTTCTTGTGTACAATTTGGAGTTTAGTATGGCGTTCATTATCACTGAACTAGTATATATATTTGTTTAGGGGCCAGCTGAAGGACGCCTCCGGGTGCGGGAATTTCTCGCTGCATTGAAGACCTGTTGGTGGCCTTCTGCTGTTGTCTCTTCTGTGGTCGGGTTGTTGTCTCTTTGACACATTCCCCATTTCCATTCTCAATTTTACATTTATCAGGAGTTTATTGCTGAAACAACTCCCTTGCAAATGAATTCGAATAAAATGTAAATTTGTCACTGAATTACCCCTAATACATATCAATAAACTCCAGAAAATTGGGTTTATTCCTAAGTATTTCTTTTTATTATGCGAATGCTTTAAGATTTATTACTATTATAGAAACTGTTCAACATCCTGAAGGAACATATCACATTCAGTACCCACTACACGTCACAGGGTAAACAGCTGGATGGTACCAGCCAGGAGATTGTTTCAATGAGGTCTGTTGAAGACTCATTTAAGGTAATTGGATTTTTAGATTAATTTTCTTGAAATGTTTGTTATACACAAACGTTTAGCCAACTAAAATTGAGAATGGAAATGGGAAACTTATTTTCTACATCTTTTTAATGATATTTAGAGTATGAAGGAGAAGTACATTAGTATTGGATTTTTAAATAATTTGATATTTCTTCTTTTGTATCAACTAATCAGTATATTTTTAAGGTTTATAGGTCACTGTACAGTTTATTACACAAATTTTTCATTTTATGATTCGTAAATTAAAAAAAAATGCAATGTCTATTTTGTCATTTATACATTACAGACTGCAGAAGCACATCATAATTTGTTAGAGAAAAAAATCAATAAAATGTTTGAAGAGGCCACTCATGTACAGGCAAATTCAGCAAGTTCAGGTAAGGTCAATCAATCTGTTACAATAGTCTGGAAATGTCAAACTTCTCCTTTTAAGGAGAAAAGGGTAGGCAGAAAATTATTTTCTTTATGTCCTGCCTACTATAGTAGAGGAGCATTATGTTTTCTGGTCTATTGGTCTGTCAGTCCATCTGTTAGTAAACATGTTCACTATCATGTGTTTTTGATATAAAAATAAGGAGATGGTGATTGCTAATGAGAAAACTATTCACCACAGTTCAATAAAGAGGATGAAAGCAATTATAGGCCTTCAACAATAAAAAAAAACCCATACCGTATAGTCGGCTATAAAAGTCCCAGACAGTGTTCTATTATCAATGTGTATATAATGAACTATTTGAAATTATATGCCCAAATTAGGTTTTGGCCCAATTAACATGGTTCACTGAATATGGAAATGTGATAGTTGGAAATAAGTACATGCTCTTTGTTAAAGTTTCTAGTAAAGGTATTTTACCATGAAGCTTTTGTAACATCATCTTGAAACCAAAGACACATATTCATTGCAGTCTGTGCCAAAAACTTTTCAAAGCACTAGCCCATAGGGCTAGTTGAATAAAAAAATTACTAGCCCGAATTGATATTTACTAGACCTGAAAAATTTTGTGTCAACGGTGAGGATCACGAAGTGATCCGAACCTTCTAGGAGGGTTTGGGGGCATGCCCCCCCAAGAAAATTTTGGAAAATTAGATGTAAAACCCTGCATTCTGAGGTTACATTTTTGTATCTGTAAGTGAATATAACATATCAAAAATTGTTGTTTTTTTCTCCAGGTCAAATGTAAAGTTCTCATTTTCTCCAATAAAAAATTAGAATAGTTCTTTTGCAAAAAAAAAAAATCTTTTTTCCATAAACTGACGTACCATTTCAAGTAAGCACTAGTAAATTATTACTCAACTTAGGGATTGTTACTTTTTTGGGGAAAAATTCCCTCATTGTCATTGATGGATGATCCCAACCAGTTTAAAATTATTCCTAATATTCTTTCATATTTTGTTAGTCTTAACAAGGATTCTTAAATGTCAAAGTTTAGTTAATTCTCTGGCACTTCTTTTTGATCTGGAAGGGGCCTTCATTTCTGTATTGTTTGCCACTGGACGTTAAGCAACCAACAATCAATCAATCATTTCTGTATTCTTTATTTTTTATGCTATTTTTCTCAATTTTTTTCTAAACAAATATTCTTTATGTTTTTTTGCCCATTTGTTATATTTATCTTTTTAATACTGGTTAATGAAAAATCATAATACAGTGTGTACTGGCTGGTCATTAATGCGTATGATACGATTTTGACACACCTACATAGCTGATGAATATTCATGACTTAATAGATAAGGACAGCACGTGTAGCCAAAAACTGGGAGTTGTAGATTTGTAGCGAAAATGTATATATGTAGTTTATAAAATAGAAAAATTAGATCAGAAATATAGTTATTAATTATTATAAAGCCAAGCGAGTAAAAACACGGATCTATCACATTATTCTCTATTCTATAAACCCCTATCAACACCCTCTTTATTGTCACTTTAGCCGTTAATTTTGACTTTTGTTTAAAATAATAAAATGCCTAGATCGTTTTCTGCATAGGTTTTTTAAACTCGAAACTCGAAACTTCTCCAGTTATTCATGAAGGCATTTTCAACTTTTCAATGTTTTACCTGGGATAGCCCCCTGTTTCCATTTCAGAATCGAATGAGATCGAATCCTTGATTGTTTGTTTACATTGAGTGGTATTTATAGATTGTGTTTATTGCAAGCACATGGTCGAGCCTCGTTCTCGATTTCGTTGGTGATTGGGTATATCGCGTTGACAACTGGTTCCCTTTGATAAGAAGGGGGAACAACCGTAAAGAATTTAATAGGGATACCAGTTAACGGAAGAAAACAAGGTCGGCGACAAATTTGTAACTTGTTTTTCATAGATTCAATAAAACACCGGCTTCAATTTCGCAAACGATTTCAGATGTTCACAAGACCGGTCGGGCAAACACCAGTGCTTCTGCACAAGTCCGATGAGATTTTTACTAGACAGGGGCTTCAGGCTACCGCTTAACGTTGCAGACTGTCATTGTATAGCAACCTTTTCAATTTTCATTCCCGCCTAAGATAGAAATTTGGCGTTATGCTTTCTGGTCTGTGCATCTATCAGTATGTTATTCCATTCCTTATCAGGTGAAAAGTTTCCGCTTAAGGCATTTTACCATGAAGATGTAGTCATAACAACTTCAACTTACTACACATTTTATTGTTAGGAAAACTTTTTAAATTATATGACAAATAACAATTTAACCCTGATTTCACATTGACATGATAATGTGAACAGGGCATGGTTTCCTATAGACACATATTCTTGATTAATATTATAACTGTTCTATTGCTGAACACACGGCTTTGATTGTTTCATTCTTTTTTATTCTGATAAAATGGTTAAAGGCTTTGTGAAAATCTTTCTTAATGACTGTTTGATATCACAATATCACACACTGATTAGTTGATCTGTTATTACTTGGCAACAGATTTTTGAAAGTTCTAAATTTTACCATAACCAGACTGTTTGATCATAAAAGTTGTTTGCCTATTTGTAAAAAAAAAGTAATGATACATAGATTGATTTAAAACATGTTTAAATTATTTTCAGCATTTTTATTCATTTCTGGAGTATCACTGTGAGTGTATTGTTATCATGTGATAAAAAGAACATTTTTATACGACCGCAAAAAAATTTTTGTGGTCGTATATTGGTATGACGTTGGCGTCGTCGTCGTCGTCGTCCGGCGTCGTCCGAAGACACATTGGTTTTCGCACTCTAACTTTAGTTTAAGTGAATGGATCTCTATGAAATTTTACCATAAGGTTCAATACCACAAAAGGAAGGTTGGGATTGATTTTCAGGGTTATGGTACCAACAGTTAAGGAATAAGGGGCCAAAAATAAGGATTTTTGTAACTTCCAGACAATAACTTGTGTTTAAGTGTATTGATCTCTCTGAAATTATACCATAAGTTTCCATACCACAAAGGGATGGTTAGGATTGGCTTTGGGGGGATATGGCTCAAACCGTTTAGGAATTAGGGGCAAAAAAAGGAAAAAAACAAGGGTTTCCTGATTAATGGACAATTTAAAAGCAGTGTAAGGGAGGTAATCCAAAAACAAAATTGTACAGTGTTGTACAATGTTGGATTACCTCCCTTACACTGCTTTTAAATTATCTATTTAAGACTTTTATGATGTATTTAAATTGGTAATTATGGTTGCAAACTCCATTGGAAATTTGAATTGAGATTATGACCATATCTTGAGGGAAAGAATTTTTTTTGGAAAAGGGGGGTGGGGGAGGGGGATAAAAAAGAAATTGTGGGGTGGGGGCAATATTTTTTTTACATTTCAGATTTCAGATATTAAGAGAAAATCTTCAAATTTTTTTTTGTTTTGTTTGGGGGGGGGAGCTGATGTCAATTCGCAACAGCAAAGTGTCTTGCACAAAAGCAAAAAATTGAATATAAATTCAAATCATATAACCAATTCTAAGTTCTTTGACTACAGTTATTAAGTGTCAGAAACCTATTATGTGTCAAATATTTAATTACAATCCAAATTCAGACCTGTATCAAGCGCAAATATTGTGTCCATTTTCACCCCAACTGTTCAGGGTTGGACCTCTGTGGTCGTATCCAGCTGCGCTCAGTGAAGCATTTTATTGTATTTTAGTTTGATGGTATTTTCCCTATCAGGGGTTCAGATTTGCTTTTAATAATTAAAGGTCCAGGACCTTTGAATTTTCAAGTGATAGGTCCTGCATAAAAAATCAATGGTCCTGTATAAAGCATCATTGTTAAGACTGGGAAATCCTGGACTTTCTTAATTCAAAAAATTAAAAGTACCCTCCTAGAAAAGAAATTTCCTAACCTTGGACCCACACTAATGTGAACCCCTGTTGGCATATTTTCTAATTTCAGTTGTTGAGTTCATTATTAAGTTTGTTTGACTGATTTTGGATATAAAAATTATTGACTTGAAATGAAAATGTATATTCATGTATCTACCTGACTAATGACATAAGTGAAAATGTAAAATTTGCTACTATATAAAAATAAGGAGATGAGGTATGATTGCCAATGAGACAACTATCTACCAAAGTTCAAATAAAGTGGATGTAAGCAATTATAGGCAACCATATGGCCTTCAACAATGAGAAAAACCCATTCCGGCTATAAAATGCCCCGACATGAAAATATTAAACAATTCAGTTGAGAAAACTAAGGGCTTAATTTATAACAAAACGATTAACAAAAAACAAATATGACAGACATGAACCAACGACAACCACTGAACTACAGGTTCCCAACTTGGGATAGGCACATAAAAAATGTGGCGGGGTTAAACATGTTTGTGAGCGCTCAACCCTCCCCTAACCTAGGACAGTGGTGTAACGGCACAACATAAGAACAAACTATAATAATCATTTGAAAAAGGCTTAACTCATCAGATCGATACAAAGCAGAAAAACATCAAACAAAAACACAGACAGGACGTGGCAGGGTATTTATCCATCACTCATTCCTAGCAACAAAAAGGACACTTAAGTACAGATCTGAGAGTACTCACAGTTACTGACAGCTAGTTCAAAGCCAATAACAACTAATAAAAAAAATCATGTATCTAAGACTAAAATATCAATCAGTACACAGCCAACATCCAATGGATTTAGTGTAAAGACATCATTAACAGTCAGAGAAAAACATGACCTTTTGCAATGCCAAAATAAAGGTATCGACAGATTGTTGTACCGATAAAGTGCATATGTGTATAACAAAACTATTTAGTATGATTTTAATTTACTGATAACAAAATCAATATTTATACCAATAAAAACAATATTCAAAGAGCTAATTACAGTGTTGAATTGGTAACCTTTTGGAATAAGTTTACTTAAAGGATTGAGAAGTTTCCCTGGATCGTATGTAAATTTCTGGTAAACAACATCACCATAAAATTTAGGATGTGCTATTCCGTCTGAAATAAGTTTTTTACAGGTACGGCAAACCAAATCTTTGTATCTATGGAAGAATTTAGTAAAGGTTTTAACTAATTTGTGGAAACGAAATCCCACTTTGCCCAGTTTGGTGAAAATAGTAAATAATGGTACAATGTACAATTTGCCTGTCTGTTACTGTACTAATCCCTGCCAGTAATTTTCTTTCTCTTTCATTCATTTTTTCTTTGATCTTTTTTTTTTCAATCTTTCTGATCTTACTTCAGAAATTATAAAATATCATTAGTAAATTATCCTTTATACATTTTTATGTAGGTGAGAATTTAGTATTTTAAAAGGATTTAAAAATGTTTTAAGTAAAAAGATCTGGAAATGGAATTATCTCACCTATTTGAGCTAGCTTTTTTTGAATTTTAAATAAAAACGCAAATTTGATACCATTTGAAATTTTTAGAAAATAAGTCTAACAAAAACCCTTGTATATTTTTTAAACACTCTGTTTAAACTAACATAAATTATTCATGTGCTCAAACGTGCAAGTTTTGTATAGCATACATATCTAAGCACATCCAGATATGCTTTTACTTTAAATAAGTATACAAATTTTGAATTTCAGCTGGATTAGTTGGTATGATGGAACAGATAGAAGATGTGATGAATTTATCTAAAGAAATGACTATGTCACTGAAACAATGTCTCACACAGTTCAAACAACAAGAAGAGGTAAGTCCATATTTATAGAAGTCTATGTAAAATGAAAGTATTATCAAAATTTAATACATGGATGGAAATTAAGATTAACTTAACTATAACAGAAATACCTCACAAAACTGTACTTATACAATAATACCAAGAAAACTAAATCTTTGAACTGAACTTAGTAGGTCCTCATAGCATAATACAGTCCTCATACAGATATACATTGTGAGAGGTTAAATAGTTATGCATGTAAAATGAATAAAGAAAAAAATGCGCTTAAAGCAGTAACCATTTAGGACTTCCAGTCTATTTGCCCAGCTTTTGTATTAAGGATTGTTTTTATATTGCATATATTGTAGCAAAGAGGTTTACACATTAAAATCAATTATAAAGTAGTTATTCGATACTTTGTAAGGCCACCCTTATAAAATTCTTTGTTTGATGTTACCTAACCATGCCTGGTAGGGTTGGGTAGTTCGGTAGGGATTTTATTTTTTTGGGGGGGCCAACAACATAAGTTACATTTTTTTAGATAAGAAAAACTACATTAGAGCAGGGAAAAATATTTAAATAATAATGGAAGCAATTTGTGTCAGAAAATTTTTCTGGTAGGCTGCTTTTTAGGTGGGTAGATAGGCAACATCAAACAATCTTAATTTTATTTTTGGCCTAAGTTGGTAACTCGTACACTTCTGTTTTATTTTACTGGTTAGTGAATTAGACTTATCTCCCTTTGATGCTGTTCTTTCAGATGCAGAATGTGAGTTTTTATTTTCATAGTAGTTTCATACAAGTTCAGAGTTGTTCTGCATGTTGAAGTTACTTAACAATTGCTAATTTTTATTCTCATAACATTTAATAAAATTTTATTTTATTTTTGTTTTTAACTTCTATAACTATTCCTTGTAACCTGATCATTCCTATGGCAATACAATGATTTCATCCTCTCCATAGATTTAACCGCTTTACAGACAATACTACCTCCTTAGCCTGAAAATGCATAAAATGCTTGTGGCTGCCAGTACTCAATTAATCATTTAGACTCATGAAAAGTTTACATACATCAATTGATTATTCTGATGAAAAAAAAAAACTTGTTTCTGAATTTTTTTAACTCCTTATTTTTGGTTTACATATGTCAATTTTTCTTTTTCAATAATCATTTGCTTCAGTGGGATATACAAAAAGTATGTGTGCATGTAAATAACAGTAAATTAACTATTTTTATGCCCCACCTAGGGGCATTATGTTTTTCAGTCTGTGCTTCCGTTCATCTGTCTGCCCCGCTTCAGGTTAAAGGTTTTGGTCAATATAGTTTTTGATGAAGTTGAAGTCCAATCAACTTGAAACTTAGTTCACATGTTCCCTATGATATGATCTTTCTAATTTTAATGCCAAATTAGAGTTTTGACCCCAATTTCACGGTCCACTGAACATAGAAAAGGATCGTGCGAGTGAGGCATCTGTATACTATAGACACATTCTTGTTCCTTCTGTATTACTTTACATTGATTTCCTTGGGAAACTGAAACTGTGATTTAAAGTACAAGTTTCCTATAGGCTTCTATTCAGAATTTTTTAAAACCATAAATATATCAGTATAATATTACAATTACTTTCTCAATCCAAGAAAATTACTAAGCCATAATTCTTATATGATTTGCATATCAACAAGTACTTGAATTGGATTGGTTCATTTAAACTTTTTATGCGCCAGCCACAGCAGAGGGGGCATTAAGTGTTACCCTTGTCCTTACGTATGAACGTACCAAATTTGTTTCCATTCCCTTATTTTAGTTTACCTCATTTAAATGTTATGAAACTTATACACAATGCTTATTACCACAAACACAGGTTAAGTTCGAATTTGGGTGGTGTCACTTTTACCATTCTAGAGTTGTGCCCCTTTATAAAAGAAAAAATTGCTTATTTTTTTTTTCCATTCTCTAATTTTAGTTTGCCTCAACCAATTGTTATGAAACTTATACACAATGCTTTATTTTGCCTGGTTTTCACTTCAAAAAATCATGTTACTGAAACTATTATCATAACCTACATAAACACTATGTTGATTTTACTGTGATCTATTCTTGCATGATACACATGTATGGGATCCTTGGGTTCCAAGCAAACTGAGATTGAAAAAAACAATAAACAGAACAGTTATTCCTATTGTAATGCATAATGCATTAGAGCTTGTAAAATGTATCAAATTTAAAGTAAATAAAATTTTGTGAAATTTCATGAATGATATTGGTGCATGATTACAAACATCAAGGCAAATTCAGTATTCACTATTAACACTTTTACCTGTTAGGAGTTATGGTCCTTGATTGATTGTAAATAGGCTTTTCCTGCTGTTACTGTGTGATAAATTGAAAACACTTGATCCAATCTGTTTCATTATTTTTATACAGTACCTTGTTTCTCCTTACAAAATTGATATGAGAATTTTCACTTTAGCTGTTTTTAAGTTATGGTCATTAATTAAATGGCACTTTTTTTTTGATTCTGTGTGGTGTCATTAGAATGCACGATCCAATTCTTTTCAAATTCTCATGACAAAATGGATGTCAGGATTGGTGTTGACCATTTTTTTATTTTGCAGTTCATGAGTTATTGCCCTTGATTGGTTACACAAGGACAATTATAGATGTAAGAAAAACCTGGTTTGCTGCCTTTTTGAAAGCCTACTGATGTGTTGTTGGGTTGCAGTAACATTGATCTTTACCCTACATTACCTTTTGATGGCTCATCTGGCCTTACAGGTTATGTGAGCCATCACTTGGCATCGGTTGTCGACATCCATCTTTCGTCGTTTGTTCATTGTCAGATAATTATAAGATTATAAAAATTTTACCAACCATTTTGACATTAATGCGCCTGAAATGTAAATTTTTAAGAACATTTAACATTTTATGGCCTTTATCTCATAAACTTAAACAATTATCGCAAAATTACCAAGAGTAAATATGATCAGCAGGTCAATTCTTCTAGGGAACTTTCAGAAAAATTGGACAACCCATTTTAAATTTATTACACCTGAAATTTTTGCAAAAAGTTTTTGGTTGAATATTATTTTGAAAACTATTACAGATAGATAGAAATTTTGAAAAGTAAAAATTCTAGAATAATAAGATCTGCAATTTAATTGATTTGACAGAAATCATTAATTGAGCCCTGAAAGGAGTTATTGCCTTTGAATGGCGATTTTTACATTTTTTGAAACTATAGTAGATAGAGAATCTTTCAGTAGAAAGAATATTCAGCAAAATTAGAACTACCAATAGGTCAACATGATAAAATCATCAATATTCCCCATACACAAGTTATTACCCTTGAAAGATGATTTTTACCAATTTTTGCATTTTTTGCAGAAATTATAATAGATAAAGAGAAATTGTAAAAGGCAAAGATGTTAAGCACTATATGATCTTCAAATAGGTTAACATGGTGGAAATTGTCATCTGACTTCTTATTGGAGTTTATTGCCTCTGAATGACCTTTTTCACCTTTAGTCAAAAACTATTGCGGATATAGTGAAAAAGCAAAAAATAGTGGAAAAATAAGATCTAACAACTATTTATTGCCCTTAAATGACGATTTTTTTTTACAAATCCTATAAAATAAATATCAAAATGGCAAATTTTTACCAGGGGAGCTATTTAGGCCTTAGTGATCCTCTTGTTTTAATCCTCTCCTCTAAGACCACTGAACTAACAAATGTTGGATAATCTGTTTAAATTACCAACCAATTATCTATTACTATCGTTTGACAGCATCCATTCGACTATCGGTTATAATCATGATAACTTGCTCCTTTTGTAATAGAAAATCATGCATTCTGGCACATTGTACTAGTTGTATGCAAATATTCATATCATTGCAGAGCTTTATTTGTTTATGTTTGATCTTATGTTTACTTTTCATATTTTAGTAAGCAATTAAAACAGTGAATCAATTAGAGACCAGATTCAGATTGGGCATCTTTTGTCTTTACTTATAATTACAACATTTATTCTCAACAATGAAACTGAAATTTCTAAATTTCAATGATATCACTCACATCTCACATGATAATTTCAAATACATAGCTGTATCAAAATTTGAATGGCTATCATTAAAAAGATATATAGAATTAACTTTAACCAACTTAAATCAATAAATTGAAACATTAATGTATTAAAAATAATATTTACATGAGAATATATTCATTTAACTAAGGGGATCTAACCAAATTGCTGTTAATGTGTGATGAATGTGTATTTTTCACTTTTGGGCATTAAGTTTTTCTCTTGACCATCCATCCTTAGGTCTGTCTTTCCGTCCGTCTGTCCTTCGGTCCATCCCATTTTAGTTTGCACACTCTAACTTAAGTTTTCCTCATCCAAACTTTACCAAACTCATACATAAGGCCAAGAACCAAAACCTGCAAACAGAGTTCGAATTTGGGCAGTGTCAAGTCACTTACCATTCTAGAGTTTTGCCCCTTTATAAATTGAAAAATTGCAAAGTTTGCCTCATCCATAACTTTATAAAACTCATACACAATGCTAAGAACCACAACATGCAGACAGAGTTTAAATTTTGGCAGTATTTCATTAACAGTTCTATAGTTATGCCCCTTTTTAATTTGAAAAATTGCAAAGCTAATTGAGTGGGGTCATTCATGTCCTCTTCTATTAAATACAAAAATTGGTTATGTCTTTGATAATTCAATGTTTGACATTGTTTTTTTCATCCTCTGATATTTTCATTACAATTTGTATCACTACTCGTGTAAAATTCAAACCGGAAACAGACCAGAAATATCGACATCACTGAGCCAAACCAACTGATTTCCAACTGATGATCGGAACATCACTAGAACTAATGTCAACCAAACTTGAACTGAATAATCCTTAGAGTATCTTGTATAAAGTTTACGTTTTCGTTACTGCTAATCGAACAATATGGTCATCATGGCTAAAATAGAGATATTGCCTTTAAAAGAATATTAATGTCTAATTTTGATTTTGTTCCTA